TATTACTAGTTTTAGATATATACATCTGTGATAGTCTAGTTGGTTTTACTGTCCTTTGTCGACAGATATTTTAAAATGATTACCTTGTTTTCATCGCTATATGGCTGTAATATTGCCGATGCGAAGTATAATTTCAACTCTGTCACTCAAAAAAAAGAAAGAAAGACATAAGCCACATTGTTTATTTCCACGGAGGAAATACGTAATATGAGTTTTTGATATTCTACTCTGGGCATTGGTGGTAAGGAAATGCCGACGGCCGTTTCCATAGGCGGACCCCCCAACTTTGTGTTGAAAGTTTGTTCAGTGACCATTGAAACTCGAGTGAAAATGAAGTGTGCACCCCACCCCCTTTTCTCAATAGTGTGCACCCCCTCTTTTCCAAAAAGCTGCATCCGCCCCTGTGTTTCGTTGATCACGTAACATATGTGGACTATTTTACGAGCGCTTACATGACAGATGTCTCTCACAAAGCTGAGAGCTTGCTGATTCCGTTGTAAATGGAGTTTTATGTCTTTGCATCTGCAATCGCTGAAAAATGAAAGTCATCGAGAGAGAATGACTTTCACTTGTTATGGACGTGGAGAGATTACCCAGCAATCGTCTAGTGTTAAAACTAAAGTTCTGCACAGGTGTTGGCCTAAGATGGATTTAATTTTGAATATATATTATGGACTTGATGGAGACACTAGTCTTGCATGTATACACGTGGAAATTGTGATTTACGTGACTATGCGGAGGGAAACTGGGTGTGGTCAAATTGGCAGTCCGTTGGTTCATATGTTTCAAGCACCTCTTGAGTTAATCTGCTTGCTCAAGTTGTATATCCTGTATATTTAGCTATGACTTAACGAGTACCCTAACTGCCCCAGTATCATACAAGTCACTACTTACTACATGTCAACCAGGACTGAAAATGACCACCAAACCAACCGGATTGCTCCGCTTTCGGAACCAGACAATATACAAAAACAGTCGCAGTGAGCTAAGGGAGACCACTCTCGATCGTGTCACGCATGTTTTGACTTATGGAGGGTGAAGTGATCGTATAATATCCAGTTTTTTCCCACACCGGCTTGGCTACCCATGTGTATTTGCTCTTCCCAGGCTAGGAGACAGCAACACGATGGTTGAGGACAAATGCCCCTGAACATGTTCATTTGATAACTAGTTTCCTCTGTATTACATGTTTCAAATAACTTAAAGCCAGGCTCTGATCAGCTGCCTCTACTAGTTTGTTGCTGTCACCTACTTATTAATAGATGTAATAAAAGGAAGGACAACAGACTCGTGTGTATACTGTTCATCAAACATTTATTTAGGTTTCATCAAGAAATAGAATGGCATGCGCCAAATGAAAGCATCAAAATCGGGGTCGAAAGGGAAGCACAAAAATCCTAATCTGGTTAGAAGAGAAATATACGTAGCCGTGTCCGCCAAAGGGTATGTCAAAATACTGATAGTTAGACCGAAAGAGTGTGTCCAGAAATATGCCGAAACATAGCCAAAAATGACCAAAAAGGGAGAGAGGATTAATTGGAAGGGCACCTAACCAAATCCTGTCACACAAATACACTTACTCAAAGACACAAAACACATGCAACACACACACACACTTACATCTAGTCACACATAAAAAACACATTATCTCAACTCACACGTTCCTATACACCCTCACAAATTCAAAAGCACACTATCTCTCAGTCTCTCTCAAACACACACAGAAAGAAAGATACACACGCTGACACACACACCACACCCAAAACACATATCCCACACATGCGCCAGTTTACACACGCAAAGCCCCTCTAACACAATCACGCATACATCCAGTCCCACATGCAAAACACTCTCACATATTCACACACACCCAAATACAACTGCAAAACCCAACCTCTTACACATACACACATGTACACACACAATCAGACACACATACGAAACACAAAGCTCGCACACATATACACTTTCACCTGCACATATACACACACACTCACGCTTGCACACAGACGCACGCACGCACACATTGGATGAAGAATCTACGAGAAGAGTCTCCTCCAGAAGGCAGCCACTCTCCTCAGCTCCTTCCTCACAGGATGAATCTCTCGGTCCTCCGCGAAACTGTCCTCACCGTCTTCATAGACCCAGTAGTCACTGTCGTCGTCACTAGGGGCAGTATAGTGGTCGACGCAGGTGATGGTGACTGGGGCGGGTCCAGGACGGGGTGAAAACACTCAGGGGATCGGGAGAAAGGGACGGGGAAGCAGCCAGGGGACGCTACATCGGTGAGTGGGAGGGAGAAAGGAGGGGCATTTCAACAGGTCTAGAGTTAAGAGTTCAAAACTGCACACGAAAGTCATGGCCATAGCCAAAGATTACACGTGAAAGATATTGTTTCTTTGTGAATGAGAGAGGTGTTTGAGGGGGCTATTTTCAGAACACCATAACAGACAGTGAAAACAATGTCAAATGCAACAGCAAGTGGAAAACGACCAGCGAGTCACGGACAAAAAAGCAAGCTATTCAACCCATTCTGACGGAGATATGGACAGAATATACATACAGAGTCGGATTCCTCATCCAGCGACGGCAATAGACTAGCAGCAGGAGTGACATGATACCGGATCATGTCTTCCCGTGCTGAAAAATAACCCAAACAACACATTTCAACACACAATAAATACATGTTCAACGAAACCTCCTTAACCTTACATCCACGGGGGAACATCCATAATATAGCAAGATATTTGCGTGTCTAGATGGGCGGATTACACATATTAGGCCATCGGGCCAATAGAGACTCTTCTGGGAATACATAGTTGCTTCATTTAAAGCGATTTAACCTTTGAAATGGTTCAAGTTAAGCGTTTTCACCTGAAGACAATCAACATGGAGCCCCTTGTCTACAAATATACATATTTCACGTAAAGCACATCTCTGCACAAGTTCTTATTGACACCTAATCCTCTTGTATGAAAAGACGGACAGACACGTGCTCAAAGGACTTAGGCATACAGGCCTAAGGGCGGCGGCCTTGAGAAGGATTATTGGCATGTAATCATTGTTTCGTTATAAAGTGCATCTTCTAATGATGCCAATGAAGGCCGTATTTCTTAAAGACTGGTTCACGGGAAAATAAATACAAAAAAGTGTCGTATAGATAAAATTCATCTGATACATGAATTAACAATATGTATGTACGGACAGCTCACTTTTTAATGGCAGGAAGATTATTTAAAAGATACACATTACTGAATTTGTGAAAAATTGCAAATGGCGGCCGTGCCATCACTACCGATACGGCTGTCAGTCTGCATCTAATTTCGGCATCAATCTACGTCTTTAGCATTTTAAAATACAATAACTGTCTTCTTAAATACCTTGAATCTGCAGCCTTGTAAACATCTTGTCAGTAGAAGACCTCGAAACGATGCTGTAGTCAACGAAATGCAGAGCGATAGGGAGTAAGAGTAGTAGCGATTCTGTTCAAAACAGAGGGGACGTTGGCAACGGCAACGGTAGCTATATGGAGACAACGTCAGAACGAGGCGTCATCGTCCATTTCCGGCAACGACAATGGCCTGCTAAGGCTGCATATCACTGGGCCAAACACTTGGCGATTTCTTAGATCCAGCCGGTTGACTATGTATTCAAACGTTGGATATAATCGGAGTCCACCACCCCTGTCAAAAATATAGCACACAATCGCAATAGTTAATAGTAGTACAAAAGGGAAAACCTAAGCATTCTTTTTCAGCCAACTGGGTAACCTTACAGATTCCTTTTTTTCTTTCTTCGTTTTCTTTCTTTTTTCTTCCTCTCTTCCTTCTAGTGCATGTCCGTTTACCTCAGAAGTATAGTAGTGTATTGCAGTCTGCAGTCCCGGTCACAATGACAGATCTCTTACGTGATTATCGTCAGTTGTATGTTTTAAAATAGACAATACATGATGGGGGCCATTTGTCACAGATTGCTTGCAGATTGTAATCCATGAACAAATGCTGTTTCAAACATAGTAACACATGCTCTTGGGACAGGTCTCTTCTTAGATGGTTATGAAACAAAGGAAAGTATCCATGTGATGGAAACTAAAGCACGACACACTTTAACACATTGTTGACTTTATAGATTTGTAAAATACACGGGAAAATTGACAGATCAGTTATTGAAAGCATGCAAAGTATCTAAGTGTTATAATTATTAATTAGTAATATTGGGTAATTACCATCTGAAAACACAACATGGCAACCTGTTTACCGCATAATGTCATTATTCAATTGTATAATCAAATTAGTCACAAACTTTCTCGAAATATGCCCATTATGTTATAATGTCACCTTGCCAGCTCAATCTGAAACAGTGGTGGAAATTCTTCTATAAAGACAAACAGATTATTTTTTTTACTGATCCACCCAGAGTAATTTCCCCTTACCAAAGTGATGTTACTTCAGGCCATGGAATATAAGCTGGTTCCCGGCTCCCTTTGCGCGCGCTAACGTTCGCCAAAGCTATATATATTGCGATATGCGAGACGGGGCCCAGCTTAATGGAATATCACAGTTGTTTATATTGTCATCATATTGTTTCGTAGTGGGCTCAGGATTAAAATAAAAATGCAGTCAGCACACATTTCAACGGAAGGAAGGGCACTTGAAGATAGACACTATTGAATTAGTTTTTTTAATAAATGAAATGGCAATGCCGCTACCCATACCGTTTCAGTATCAATCATCCCAGTTTTTCCTCGCTCACCCAAGTGCCAATTCAAATTCGACCCAAACGATCTGTTTCGTTTTCTGACAGAATATTCACTGAATCATATGGCAACTTTCAAGTTACCGTATTTCCAGTAATATAAGCGTTGCAGACAACAAGCTGTGACTACAAGTCGCATCGTCAAAAATCTCGTTTAGTCTGAGTCCAAACACCGTGGCGCCAATTTCAACGTGGCTCCATGACAATAGCGATAATGTGACGTCATAGGAAAGTGTGACGTCACATGTTTCGAAGTTCCGGTTTCTGATTGTGGTGGTAAAATACGACAACACAGCCATGTTTGGATTACTTTGATAGCAAGAGTAATACAAATGACAAACATAAGTCTTTTGGTGTTTCTCCTCCTGTTGCAAGGACTACATGCTGGTAAGTAGCGGTAAGATTACAGATGGCACCAAGAAACGCTTCGAGCAGATGTGGATCATAAACTCCTTACATGTGTATCTACGATGTATGGAGTTGACGTCGATGTTTCGTATTTCGAAAAGTGTTCGTTTTTGTCACCTTTCACACCTTCAACATGAAAAAGAGTGGTAGATTCATGAAGAAAATAATGTACATTACAACAATTGGAAGCATTCTATCAATTTACATTTCTTGAAACTTGGTATGCTAACAGCCGTTTCTCTGACTTTGTCATTGGCCTATATACTATGAAGTATGAAGTATATGCACGTTAGATACTAAACAAAAGTAAAGAGGCGGTCTAGATTTCTGACGGACGGTCTAAATTTACAGCTAGCCAGCCCGATGGTCTGGTAAAATTTTTAGATGTTGCATGCGTCTGCGTAATTTCACCATATTTGGTCTGGTTAAATCCATTTTGGGCTGGTAACATTTTGAAGTTACCAGCCCTGATGTCTGGCTGGATTTTTGGCTTACTTCATACTTATTTCTCCAACTATACTATTTTAGTATCGTTCTCTTAGTAGTCCCTCAATTACCCAGTGTTTATCAAACATTTATGGAAAGTGGGTAAGGCCACTTCACAGTTGACATGCATGAAGGAACAAAAACACAACTTGCAGTATGTAGAATTATAATCAGGATACATCCCTATCCTTTAGTTCAACCTGTTGCTTTTGTCACACCCACTGCAGAAACAGTTGGCAGGTACCCTGTATATTAGGGGCAGATGCAGGATTTTGGAGACAGGTGGGTGGGGAAAGCTCCTCAGGGGAAGAAAATTCAGTAGGGTACACTTGCATTACACAGGACCCCTTTCCAACAATATTGGATCTGGTCCTGGGCCTGCTTTCACAAAGCACTTAGGTGTAGTGTTTAGAATTGGTTATAATCTCATTATTGATGATTGGTCCATTACAACCAATCAATCATCAAAAATAATTGGTAAGCATCATTTATCAAATGTTATCTTTGTTAATGCACAAAATAAAAAATGAAGAAACATGCAGTTCTTTTGTTCTTTTGCAAATTGCACAAAATGCATTTTTGTATTTCACATCTAAATGATGGTCAGTATGTTAGGAACATTAATTTCCTGGAATCTTTAAGATAAATTCACTGATGACTTGGAACAAGCTTGTAGTGCTTATGGAATGTAAAATTAATGACACAGACAAACCAACCTTTGTTAATGCAAACGATTTAAGTGTTCCAAAATTGTTTGTGTTCGATTATAGGAAACCATTTTCGATTGCTTGGTCGTTTAGTCACTGGGACCAATCTTCGATTATTTCAATTAATCGGACCACCGTTATTAAGGTGATCGTAAGTCACTAAGGTAACCTTAGTGCAATGTTAAAAGAATGGGAGCTAAGGTTAACCTCAGTAAAGGTTGCTTCCTGAAAGGAGCCCCTTGGCGCCCTTATACAAAACAACCATAGCCATGAGACTACCTTAAGTCTACATTAAGATATGGGAGTTACTGTCACCTTAGCAGTAATGGTAATATGCTTTGTGCAAGGGCACCCTGGTCCCTAACCCTAACTGTAACCCAATCGTATTAGCAGAAACCATATAATCTATAGTGTATGGCATTTCATCATTTTAGGGCATAGGTCAGGATTAAGGTGAACTGGACATTTGCAACATATTGCACACAAGAAACTAAAAAACTGCTTCATTATGCAAATAAACAGCGGTGTGTATATTAAATCAGAAAGCACTTTGGGTAGGTACGTTTAGTGCCCAATTATTGCAAATTATCAGTAAAGTATCTTATTGAAATCAATAGCCTAGTGGTTATCCCTTTGCTCCTCATGCAGAAAACCCAGGTTCAATTCCCCACATGGGTACAATGTGTGAAGCCCTTTTCTGGTGTCCCCTGCCATGATATTGCTGGAATATAGCAAAAAGCAGTATAAAACCTCCCCCACTCACTCACATGGGGGAGGGTCATCCAACATTATGGCAAGTCTTTGGGCATTGTCATTATTTTCAGTACATACAATTCTCTGACATGCATATGTCTAATTAGCAATAGGTGGAATATATCACCTTTCTTTTGCAGAATTCATATCAGTAGAGTTTATGAGTGATGCCTATTTTCAAATAGTAAATAAAGATCTGAAAGAAGTTCACACTGACATAGTGGGTAGTTCAGTAAAGTTAGGTTGACTATTGGGTTTTTTCAATCAGAATGCATATTTGTATGCAAGCAACTCAAAATTAGTAATGTATTTGTTAATGGTTAAATACTTTGCATATCTTATACGAATATTGTTGCATGCAGCTTATCAAGAGTTTGTAAAGACATGACAGCTCACATTCAAGTGTGAAGCACCTGTAAAGAAGTAGAACCCCAATATTTTTGTGTTAGTCTTAGGAGTTACATTCTATACAGTAGTGGTGTTCCGATTAATTGAAATAATCGAAGATTGGTCGAAGTGATCAAACGACCAAGCAATCGATCACATTTTCTCATAATCGAACACAAACGATTTTGGAACTGCTGTTTTAGTGTTTGAAATACTTTATGATGGAACATATCTTCGAAGTTGTCAGGGCCTGAAAACTTGTTTAATTCTGAGAAAACTCACTTCACTAACTGAAAAGCCATGACTGAATATTTCTTGAAGACTCAAGAAAGTTTATGTTCATGATATATTAGTCATCACTTTAAAGTAGCAAGTTGCATCATGTTATACATATCTACAATAACAACCTTGGTAGGAAAATCTGAAAAATGATACTTACCAATTTCTTTCGATGATTGTTCGTTGGTAATGAAACAATCATCAATTGTGAGATTTGCAACCAATTCCCAACACTATACAGGGGTGGAAATAACTTTAAATTGCTAGTGTACTCCGCGGAACAGTAGCACATGTAAAATCACTTGCCCTGATAAATTTTCCTCTATACCCGCCGTTTTCTTGTTGATTTTTTACAATAAACAACATAGTTAACATTGGAAAGTCAACTGGACACCGGTACAGTGTGATATACAAATTTGCTTGCCCGACAGAAACAAACACTGGACTCGGACGTCGGGCAATGGGTTATTTCCACCCCTGCTATACAGTATTGTAGTGAAATACCCTGTTAGCCATATTAAGTGCTTCCTGACAATTGCCTAACCAGTCTTCTAGTGATCTTTATAGGTACCCAGTACTTGACCCAAACATTTACCAGACACTTTGATTGTGTATATTCAGTTTTTACAGGATCACTCATGAGTCAATATTAAACCGTCAGACTGTTCCATACACACACAAAAATAACTAGCAAAATGCAAAAGCTTATCAAAGTATTATATTTAGTATGAAACAATTGCAGATTCATATATTTCTATCTTTTCACAAAACATTGTTTACAAAATTAAGGATAATGCATGCAAGCAAAGGTAAAACATGTCAATAGGGTCTAGGCTAACTGCGTTGGTTAGCGTCATTTATGAAATTTGTTAATGCACAAAATGTATGGAAAAAATGTACTTATTTTTTTGGGGGGGGGGGGGTTGGCAAAATTTCGAATCTTTAAAGGATGACTAGTATGTTAAGAACATACATTTCTTGGTGTCTTTAAGATAAATTCATTGATGACTTGGAACAAGCTTGTAGTGCCTTTGAAATGTAACAGACAAAACCAACCTTGTGAAAAATATTGTTGATGAAAACAAGTGTTCCAGAATTGTTTGTGTTCGATTTTGAGAAAACATGATCGATTGCTTGGTCGTTTAGTCACTGCGACCAATCTTCGATTATTTCAATTAATCGGACCACCACTAGTGCTTATTATGTCAAATATGGTAATTTATGTACCCATAAAATGACGTATGTAGAGATTGATTAAATGGCCTCCTGATTTAAAGATGTGGTTAGAATTGTTCTTCAGGGAACAATGCTTGTCTTAGATGCAATTAATTGGATCATGTGGTCAGTTTAACCCACTTGGTGGATGCATGTCACTGTATTACCAGTAGTGTTGGAAATTGGTTGAAATCTCACAATTGATGATTGTTTCATTACCAAGGAACAATCATCGAATAAAATTGGTTAGTGTCATTTTTCAGATTTTCCTATCCAGGTTGTTATTGCAGATATTTATAACATGATGCAACTTGCTACTTTAAAGTGATGACTAATATATCATGAACATAAACTTTCCAGAGTCTTCAAGAAATATTCAGTCATGGCTTTTCAGTTAGTGAAGTGAGTTTTCTAAGAATTGAACATGTTTTCATGCCCAGACAACTTCAACGATATGTTCCATTGTCAAGTATTTCAAAGACTAAAACAGTAGTTCCAAAATCGTTTATGTTCGATTATTAGAAAATGTGATTGATTGTTTGGTCCTTTGGTCACTGCGATCAATCTTCGATTATTTTAATTAATCGGAACACCACTAATTACCAGTGTCACCAATTGGATACATCAATGCTCATAATGTCAGTCACTGGTTTGTGGTGCAGACTTGATTGTTAACAAATTGCAGTAATACAGCTTGAATATAGGGAAGTGTGACATAACAAAACTAAAACAGTAAACAGATCATTTATGTAGAGTTGTAGGTAGTTTGAGTGAGTGAGTTTAGTTTTACACCACACTCAGCAATATTCCAGCTATATGGCGGTGGTCTGTAAATAATCGAGTCTGGACCAGACAATCCAGTGATCAGTAGCATGAGCATTGATCTAGGCAGCTGGGATACCATGACATGTGTCAACCAAGTCAGCAAGTCTGACCACCAGAGTTGCGTCTTAGGACAAGCAGGGTTACTGAAGACCAATTCTAACCCAGATCTTCATTGGTGATTTGAAGCTATTTGACAATATTTGCAGTAGTAATAACTTAGCAACATTGATTGTGTCAAGATGAGTTTATACTGATCCACACCTTGAACATGTTTGTTAAACCTGCAAATTCAGTATCCTGATACATATTGATGTTAGGTAAGTTTAAGGCTGTAACGATTCACTGGCATATTCAGTGAATCGAACCGTAGCCCTTCGTAAGTTCAATTCGTTATTCGTGGTCACCAGAACCAAATATTAACAAATATTTACGATTTTTTAAGGGAGCATGTTTTACTTGAACCCTTGTGTACTTTTGGAAAGTGAGATATGCAAGAATTCAATATGTACTAGTCTTGAGTAGCGCAAGTCATACCAAATTTGAGTGTCATGAGATCACTGGTTATACAAATCAAAACTGTCAACATGGGCATTCCATAGTGTACATCAATCACTTAAGTACAATATTGTATTCGTGAATAATTAATCATATTCGTTACCCACTATTCATAATACGTATCATATTCGCCACATAGTGTATTTGTTGCAGCCCGAGGTAAGTTCACCATCAGACTCCTAATAAGTGTTACATCTTTTGCTTCCAGCTACAGTTAAAGAAAAGAAGACAGGAAAAGATGTTCATCATTTCCCTGGAAGTGATAAGGATTTGCCTAAGTCTGTACTGTCAAGTAAAACAGGGAAGTTGATTAAAAGCACTGGTGTCTTGTTGGTGGTCCGAGCAGGCCAAAAGTTGGGTGACTGCAAAGCAGCATGTAGAGATGAATTCCTCATTAATTGTAAATTCTACAGATATATGGAAGAAAGGAAGTCTTGCTTACTCATGACGTCCAAAGGGCTCAATGGTACGCCAAAAGGTAAGGTTACCAGCACTTCCTGAATACTACTTGTCAGGGCTCTATTTAGTGCTTTGTTACTTGCACGCGGGTGCAACCCAAAATTACAAAGTGCAACCTAGTTATTAGCCTACCTTGCACCAGGTGCAAGTAAATTTTAGAGAAATAAATCAACAATAAATCTAACATTATAAGCATAAGTATGTCAGCTCATTTTTTTTCTCAACTTTGAATAGTTCAATAGCACATTTCTTTCATTACATATTGCAATAAAAGCAATGCAACTGGAATTTGGCTGGAGCAACTAGGCTTTTATCTTAGGTTGCACCTGGTGCATCTTGGTTACGATCTCTTAAATCGAGCCCTGCTTGTCTTCGACTGCAGAAATGTTGATTTCAATCCAGAATCCTGTTCCATGAAGCGATCTTTGCACTTCTATGATCGTGGCCAATGTTAAAGTATGGGAGTTACGTAGCGCTAAGATCACCTTGTCTTCAATAGCAGAAATGTTGATTTCAATCCAGAATCCTGTTTCACAAAGCGGTGTTAGCACAACAATGATCCTGGGCCAATGTTAAAAAATAGGAGTTATGACCACCTTAGCGCTAAGATCACTGTGTCTTCAATAGCAGAATTTCAGTCCAGAATCCTGTTCCACAAAGCAGTCTTAGCACTACAATGATTGTGGGCCAATGTTAAGATATGGGAGTTATGATCACCTTAGCGCTAAGGTCACCTTGTGAAACTGTGCCTGCTTAAGGCTGGCTTAAAAGATTGATAATCATTAATATCACTGATGCGAAGAATTATTTGCCATTATCGATACAAAAATTGTGTCATCAATAATATTGGACATAAACTATTGTGGTGAAATATAGTATTATATTACACACACAAAGTTAGGTCTATTTTCATGGGCTGCTTTCTAATTTATGTTCAAGAGGCTGCTTATTTATGTAGCCCATGCAAACATGTGTCACCACTAACCAGTGATTTGAAATAGGGTGATTTATTTCAGATTTTTTTTGCATTTTACTTAAAGTTACTTCTCCAATATTTATCAATAATCATTCAATATTTAGTTAACGATTATAGATCTCTATGACATGTACCAATAGCCAGTCCTAGCCTTGATGTTTAAACTTTTGGACTCACCTCTTGATTTTAAGTTCCAGGAGCTAAGAGTCGTATTTTCAAATGTAACTGTACTGCAAATCGCAACATTTTCAAGCCTTATATATCAGGACCTAGGTTTTCAAAGCTCTCCTTTCGATGGTCGTAAGTGCTAAGAAGGCTTCGAAAATCTTGTCCCTGAATTAAGTAAATATTCTGTCAGTCAGGACAGGAATAAATATAGCTTAAATATATAATACTTAAATAAGGGGCGTGGTGGGCGAGCTGGCTAAGGCGCCAGGCTAGTGATCCAGCGAGTCAACCTTGGAGTCAACTTTCAGTGTTGTCACAACCCCTAGTGTACAGTATACAACCCTGTGCACTAGAAGAACCCACGAATCCGTTGGTATATGACCAGATGGTGGCCAAATGAATAGGTGCAAACACCTAGTTGCGGTACAGCAACGTGCAGTGAACTTGGACAAAGTACTGTGACTATGAGTCCCACTCCACCCAGCTGTGAATGGGTACCTCGTAAGGATGGAAAAGCCGCAAAAACTTGGTGCGCCTTGTGACAGCAAGAGCTGTATTCTCCCCAGGGAGCTGAGATTGATAATACAATGTGCCGTTGAGATTGACATCCAATGATCAAGGGAAAAAATACCAGTGCCTCGAGCATGCACTAGTGCGTGGATATGTGCGTTATATAAATATCCAATAATAATAATAATATGAATGCAACTAAGAATGCATCTTTGTCCTCATTGAGTTTTTGTTATGTGACACTTGGTTTGACAATTGTTAGCGGATATATTTTCAGCCAAATCAGAGGAAAAGCAGGATGACCCAAAAAAGGAAAACGAAAAAGGAAAAAAGCAGGAAGAAAAGAAGGATCTTAAAAATATTAAGAAGAATCAGAAAAATCATGAAAAAGAGCTGAGTCAGATAAAAAAATTGTTGGAAAAGGTCAATGATGGTAAAAAAGGGGCCATGAAGAAGATTCAGAAAAATGAAAAAAAGATGGAAGAAAGATTTAGGGATCTTCTAAAGGGTGAAGGGAAGATGGGGAACGTTATCATGGAACTGGCATCAAAACTGAACAAAGTATCAACAGACGTGGCGTCAATCAAAATGGCAAATGATGAACTGAAGCGGCAGCTGTCCGATTCTGGTGGCAGTTCCCCAGCTATTGAAAGGAAGCTGGCAGGTCTAATAAGGGATGTGGCAGAACTGAAAACAAGAACAGAGGTAATTTGTTGGTTTTATGCTGGGATAGCCTTTTAGGTTAACAAATTTGTGTTTAGCCAGCAGGTCTTTCTCCATTTTTAGAGTTAACTGGTCCTTCTCCAAACATACTGGACTACTACCAAGTATTCAAGGTTACCATGCTCCAGCATACATTTTGCAAGTCCTCGTCCCTAAATTAGCATTTTCCTGCTATCTGACAGAAACCTCAGCTGAAAAAGTATATGAGCAAAAACAATGAAATTATAGACATTTGGAAAAGTGATGATGTTACTTGAATAACTTCCAAACTGTTTTTGGAATACGACACAAGACACTCTCTCTTTGAACTAATGTGAACAGGGAGAGTAGAGAATACAAAGGATAAAAGTATATGTACCCATCACTGTGTTATACATTCACATGACCTAAACCCATATATATTTTTTCATAAAACGAACACAATTTACAAGTCCTGCAGAGGCCCAGATAACCTGCGTATTCTGGTAAAATATGCATAGAAACTTTCCAATTACGTATTGAAAAATAATTGTTGCGTACCAATTACGCATTTAAAATGTTAGATGCGCAAAAAGTTTAAAACAAATGCCTACGGAATATATTTATAAAAATCGCTTGCATAATGACAAAGACATCGATTGCTATCAAGTTGTACTGTTAGTATAGGACTAGTGTTGTCTGTTAGTATAGGACTAGTGTTGTACTGTCAGTATAGGATGAGTGATTTTTTATGAAATCATTTCCATTATATTTAACTTGGTTTTGATTAGGTATGACATGAGGCAGAACACACCTGCTTAGTAAAATGACTGAAATACGCACATATTTGAAAGCAGTGGGTAACAGAAAATGAAATACCCACTCAACGTTCATAATACCCACTCCAAAAAAATACAGTGGGTACAGTACCCACATGAGCTAAATCTTATCTGGAGCTCTGAGTCCTGACCCAGTTAAAAAATAAAGCCACACAGATTATATTTTTACGAGTACTTTGTGCAGTAAGAAAATGACACATCACTAAACAAAATTTTGTAAATGGATTAGGGGCCAATCTATATAGGCAGGCCATTAGGGCTGCAATGAATACACTTTGAGACGAATATAGTATGTTCCACAAATATTGGGTAATGATATGAATATTCATTCATGAATATTTTCTGTTTGATAAATTAAATATGTATTTGCTTAGGTTTTAAAATTTCAATGATATTTTTTTGTTAGGGGAAAAAGCAATCCATTACAACAATGTACTGTAAAGGGAATTGACAAAATAACACAAGCTACGCTATTTCTTGGCTCTAAATGTTCCATTTTGCTTATCACAATTTGATACAAATCAGATTAGTTCCAAGTGAAACACACACAGCAGGGGTTCAAAAATCCCATCGCCCGACGCCCGGGACAAGTCAGTTTTCATTTCGGACAACCAAATACTGGTATCTTACTTGTCCTTGGGCTACTAGATAATCTCTGCTTACAGTTTCAAACTGCAATTAAAATTGGATTTCATTTCATATCTACTCAAAATGTAGCTTTTAAATTTTGCAATGATAATTAAGTAGAGTTATCCTTCTTTGCCATTTATCACTTCTCTATAAATAGTCCAGTGAACATTAACATCAAATACCATGTTGATTTATTCTTTCATAATTACATCATCATGATTATGTCATAAAAATCAGGGCAAGTGGAAAAATAGCCAGGACAAGTCACTTTCTTAAAGTCACTTGCCCTGTGGCAAGTGGCTTTTAAATAGATTTTTAAACCCCTGCACAGTCTCTAAAAAGAAATATTTGATTCTTGCAACCAATAACATGTTGAATTCATGAAGGGATGCGGTTCAATTCATCAAGTACATGAATGAATTGCAACAAGACTACAAGCCATCATCTTTCCAATTCAGCAATCCCTTCATAACTTGAACTGGCCATGGAACAGTGGGACAGCGGTAAAATTGACCCCTTTTGTCTTTTGTATTTAAAAATTATTGATAGGTTGTATTTGAGGAAGAAGGGTGGTTGATATGGGAGTAGACAGCATTGGTCATTTGATAGTCAGCAGATAAGTTTTTACTATGTATACCTATGAATATTTGGGTTAGAATTCTTCAGGAACACATGCTTGTAAGCAGTGACAACAGGATTGGGTAGTCAAGTGGTGAGTGAGTTCGGTTTTTCGCTGCTTTTAGCAATGTTCCACTAATATCATGGCGGGGGACATCAGAAATGGGCCTCACACATGGTACCCATGTGGGGAATCAAACCCAGGTGGTGGTGGTGGAATTGGGTTTAACGTCGTGCTGGAGAATATTTCGCTCATATGACGGCGTGCATGCGTGTGTATGTGTATGTGCGGCTGCTTGTACTAGCCCAGACTGAAGCTGGTTTTATAGTGCTAGCCCACTGAGATACCATGCCGCATTGAAGCATGAATACCCCACTCAGACACATTATACTGACTCCCAGCCGACCAGTCCCATGTTGTACCCATTAATGCCGAGCGCCAGGCAGGGACCAACAAGTACCATACTTTAACGTCTTTTGGTATGACACGGTCGGGGATCGAACCCGCGACCTTCCGCACTCCAGGCGGACACTCTAACCACTACACCACGGAGGCGGTCCAAACCCGGATCTTCAACGTGAGGAGCCAACCTATAACCACTAGACTACCACAGATTGTCAGGGATTGGATAAGGCAGGGCCATGGGCCATTTTGCACATTAGAATGATAAATGGCCCATTAAAAGTTTACTATTGATACAAGGGTTTCAGCTCATGCTAAATTCAGAAAATGGCTAATAATCCTGACAGTGGCCCATTGTCAAAGCTCTCTATCCCAATCCCTGGTTTGTATAGATCAACGTTTATGATGTGAGCCTCTCTGTGTTAAATAACAAACAAACAGTAGTTTCGGGCCAACATACCACCAGCCATGTTATTAGAAAAGTAGCCAAAATACAAGTTTGGGCAGAAGTGAATTTCAGACTTTTTGATAGTCACTAGATATACGAGCCCAAATATATTTTCAGATGAATCCGACTGTCTTCAAAATTACGAAGAACCAAAGGATACTGGCAGAGGCGCTTGAGTCCATTGACAGAGAGCTGACAGTTTTTCAGAGCAAACTTAGACACATTGACGAGAGAACTGACGAGTTGAGAGGTCGACAAACAAGAGAAGAGCTTCACAGAAAAACTATCAATGATGCTCTACAAATACTAACAAAAGCTGTGAAGAACATGAGAACAAACATTAAGAAAATTATCAATCCTCAGGTAAGATCGTGGTTTTGAGAAAGAGTTTGTATGTTCTTGTTGCCATGGTTACCTGTGATAGGTTTGATATTGCTAGTATTTCAATTTAAGGATGAATGACATGGGTTGATTGTAATGCTTATAGAAATGAGGTTAAAGGTGACCAAAGATGAGGTGAGGTGACATGGGGTTTTACGTCATACTTGAGAATATTTCATTCATATGACAATGTGCATGTGTGTGTATGTGTGGCTGCTTGTACTAGCCCAGACTTGAGCTGGTTTTATAGTGCTAGCTCACTGAGATACCAAGCTGCAGTTAGCATGAATACCCCACTCAGACACATTATACTGACTCCGAGCCGACCAGTCCTTGTTGTACCCATTAATGCCGAGCGCCAGGCAGGGACCAACAAGTACCATATTTTAACATCTTTTGGTATGACGTGGCCGGGGATCGAACCCACAACATTCCGACATTCCGCTCTTCGGGCAGATGCTCTAAGAGTAAGACCAAACATTAAACCATGGGGACCTCTTTAGTTTCTGACATGATCACCTGAATACCAATTTTCTGTAGAGCTCAAATATTGAGGACATAAACTGGTTCTTGTTCTCTCAAACCAGTGGGCCAATTGTCCTAGCGTTGTGAAAATCTTGATGAAACCCTGCATTTCAAAGTGAGAAAAAAAATGAGAAATGGTCCCTAAATTGAAAGTTGATTACTATTGCTAATCACTATACTTATCCGGGTGTACTGTTTACCCATACAATGAATGTCAAGAAAAGTGTTACTGATTTGACATCATGAGCCAAGAAAGCATCAATCAGCCTCATGACTGTATCCCAGAACTTAGGCGTTTTAACACATAGTATATACTTTAAATTGTTTGATTCTCAAATTCAACCCATAATGCTATATGCCTCAGAAATTTGGGGGTTCCAAAAACATGATTGTATTGAAAAATTGCATCTTTTAGCTTGTAAAAGATTTTTATCCGTTGGTAAATCAACGCCAAATTGCATGATATATGGCGAGTGTGGTAGATACCCTCTTTTTATCAACTCAAAAATAAGATGCTTGAAGTATTGGTTTAAGATTCTCGGAATGCACGAACGAGCGACGAATTCCAAAATTAGCTTATTATATGCTTCTCAATCTAGATAATATTGGTAAAACAACATGGGCGTCACATATAAGAAACCTTTTATTTTCTCACGGTTTTGGGTTTGTTGGCAATGTTGCCCTATTTCTTAACCAATTTCGAGAACAATCAGGCCTTAAAAAAAAAAGCTTGTGGTTCCGATTTCCCGACCGACCCTAAATATTCCCGCTGAGCCTAACAATTTTACTCACCACATAATAAATTAAATTTATTTTCTGACACATGAGTAATGTAAAAATATTTTGCAAAAAATACAAAAACCCTACCTACCTACCTACCCTAGTTCTGAAATGTAGGAAATCGGAACCACAACATTTATTTTTTTGGGCCTCAATCAACATGTATCATCAAGAATGGCATTTCACATTAGAAACAAGTTCACATTATGATCTATATAGATCCTTCAAGAGTCTCATACAACCACAAAAATACTTATCTGTGCTAACATCCAAAAATCTCAGGCACAAATTTATTCAGTATCGACTTGGTCTTTCAGACCTATTCGTAAATAAGGGTAGAAGATTGTCAATAGAGAAATGTTTAAGATTATGTCCTTTATGTCATTCAGCCATTGAAAATGAAATCCATTTTACATTTGTCTGTCCATTTTATGTTGATCTAAGAACCAAATATATACCAGTGCAATATCAGTCAAAACATCCCGAAACTGCCTTTGTGTCAATTTTATCCTCAAATAATGAAAACGTTATTCTCCAACTTGCCTTATATGTAAAACATGCGTTATCTTTAAGAAATGAACTGTTAAGCATTGATTTACTTTATTCCTTTCATCCTTGTATTATTGTGATCATTAATATATGAATATCATGTATTCTCCTTGTATATGGGCCGGAGGCCTTAAATACAATAAACACTTTGACTGACTTGAAGTGTTTGTCAATGTGTTGTCATTATAGACGCTTGTGGACTCAAAATGTTGATGACGTTTATTTATTGTAGTCATCGTATAATATTGAGAGGACTAACGCCATGAAAGAAGTTCAGTCTGAACTGGAGATGATGTCAAAAGCAAATAAGAAACTGGTCTATGATATGTCCCAGACAAGGACAGAGCTGAGCTCTCTGTTGAAGGATCTTGTAGGCATTCAACAGGCACACCAGCAGAGCATTGCAAGCATTGAAACTCTGGCTCAGGCCAATCTCAACACCAAACAGAACTACAAGGTTCTGAAGTCTGATCAGGTAGGTTTAGGGGAATAGCTCCACTGACACTATCCAATATGATATGTAGTATGTTACTTAAACACTTGTCCAGAGACCGAGTCTAGTTAATTCTGTTCTATTTAGTAAGCTGTAGTAATAATAGTCCATAGGTTAAATGCATTCTGAAAAGGCTGCTTTGAGCTATAAATACACAATGCCAATTTAGAAAGTGGTCAAGTGTAACAGATTATATTTGGGATTACACTTTCTCAGTAAAGTACAGATTCTAGTACTGGTATTGGGTCAAATACCATCCGGGATTCGAACCCACACCCTCAGAGTCAAGCATCTAATCGCCAGCACACAAAGTCAGCCATCTAACCCACTCAGCCACCCCAACTTCCACAAAAATGGAAGTCGGACAACTGGTACTCTGGACCACGGTCTTTGTGTACTGGGAAAGTGTAATCCCAAGTATAACATATGTTGCTTAGAGCCATGTTCACCCTATAAGACAAAAAACATTTATAAACAGACTTGATATGTATCAATGCTTAGTGGATCCTGTCAGGCTTGGTCAATAGCATTGTCATCGGTGCCCAATTGCCTTAGGATTGGTGTTCATAATATCTATCACTAGAATATTTGATAGAGATTTGATTTTTTACAGGAATGATGTCATAAAGCTTGAATGTTGTTAAGTGTGTATTATAATAACAGGAATTTCACAATGAACTCTTTGACTTTATATCTCATGGACGTCAAATTTCATCTGAATTTGAAGAATGATGTATCTGGATTAAGTTAAAAGCAGCATTAAACCCAACTCATTCACACTGAATTTGAGAAACAAGAATTCAAGTGAAATATTTTGAAAATTACTAACCTGAGAAAGTTACCATTTACCTTGGTAGAAGAGCCATTCATGAAATATAACTTTGTGGGATCACTTGAAGAAACACTATTTGACAGGATAGTCGTTTTAACCTTCTATGTATCAAATGTCATTATGTGTTATAACTTATATCCATATACATTTAATTGCATGCTCTTATACTGTTTTATGGTATATAGAAAATTAAGGACAATGTGCCAACATATTTATGTATTTGTTTCTTTTTAGGATCAAATGATGACCAAGATTCAGACATTAGCATCTGTGTACCGGAGCGTGCTAACCGCACTTCACAACCTGGAAATCAAAGAGATCAATGTCATGCATAAACTGGAACGCTATGAAGAAGCTGTTTCACGGTTAAATGCAAATTTTTTAGGAGCAACGAAAGGGAATGGAAAGGGCTCAAAGAAAGGGAAGCAGGTAAGTTCTTGGAACATGACCATTCTGCATTGGCAGACAGACACAGCTTAACAAAAGTCAGTGTCTAGTCAAAGTTTCTTATCAGAAGATGTTAATTTCAAGTTTTATATCTTTGCAGTGATCCAAATAGAGCTGAATTTGTGTGCCATGGCAGGGTAAATATTGAAATGGCATGGATGGAACATTTTTACCGTACCCTGGCGGCACACCTAAAATTATACAATTATACTCACCATTATTCATTTAATGAAAAATGTGATTTCAAAAAAATATATATATAAAACGTGCACACGGCATTCCTAAGAAAAGGCTACCCAAGAATGCAACTAATGCAAAACTATATTCTGCAAAGTTTGTAGAAACTAAGATTGTGCAGTCGGCGGGTATGGTAAACCAAATCACTTTGGTTTGACACATGTCATTGTATCCCAAGTGCATAGATCGATGCTCATGCTGTTGATCACTGGATTGTCCGGTCCAGACTCAATTATTTACAGACCACCGCCATGTAGCTGGAATATTGCTGAGTGCGGCGCTGAACAACAAACAAACAAACCTAATCAAGGGGTAAACCGGAAGCACATGTGGAAAGTGATGACCATTTGGTGGCTCTTAGAGCTTGAAATTATTGTTATGTTTCAACAAAAGGACAAAATTTAAATGCTACAACTTTCATTAACAATTTAACATGTATTTATTTTTTTGCATTTCATAAACATCAGACATCAAAGGACTTGACGAACTTAGCCAGTCTATTAAGGTCCCAGAAGTACATTTACAGTCAAGTAATGAAGCTACGCAAAGATTTAAAGAAAGTGAAGAAGCAGTCGAGACGTCGTAGCAAGTCTAAAGCTAAATCACGAAGCAGGAAAGAGCGTCGTAGAAAGAAAAAACGCAAGAAAAAAGGTATGTTGAAAGGCCACATTTTTAAGTTAAGTTAGAACAACGTAGTTACAACTATATGTCTTATGAAGATACAGGTTAGAAAAGATTATTGGCCCACAAATACAATTGGATGGTCAGGCTAAATGATTTGGTTTATGCACATAATTGTAGCTCATGTATGTAAATTGATGCTCAAGATGTCTGCCAACAGATTCCCAGGGTTCCATTCTGCAAAGCGATCTTAGTGCTACGACTGTCGTAACCCATTGTTTTAGTATGGGAGTTACGATCACCTTAAGGCTAAGATTGATTTGTGGAACGGGGCCCAGGGCCTAGATTTTCGAAGCTCTCTTAGCGCTAAGATAGTCGTAAGTGCCATACATTAACATTAACTTACGACTATCTTAGCGCTAAGAGAGCTTCGAAAATCTAGGCCCTGGTCCAGAGTCAATTATTTAGACCTGAGTGTCCTCTGATTACAAACAAAGTAAATAAATTTGTTCGAAACTATGAATTTCAAACTTAATATACTTCTTAACATACACCAGGGGAAGTTTGGTATGTAGCATTACATTTTGTTGCCTGGCTTTTTTAACAAACAATTGTCTCTTCCTAAGATTATCGAAAAAAATATATTTAAATTATGCCACAATGATTTAGAAATCTATGTAGAGGTTTCAAGTTACTGTATATTTCTTTTTGTGATATCCTCATTCTGATGAAAACCTAGGCTCAATTTCAAACATAATTAAATTGAGTGGAACCCTTTTCTGCTGCCCATTGTTGTAATATTGGTAAAGGGGGCATAAAATCATACTCATTGACTCTGTGATGAAGGAAACAAAAAGATTGATCCTGTTGGAACCTGGAAGTTTGACATGCTGAAAGACTTAGTTCCGTAGTGTTTTAGGCTCCTTTGTCTTTTATACCATCTACAGTAAAGAGTCAGATTGGTTTGATTGGATACATTTTTCTCTGTCGTCCTGTAGGAAGAGGCATGTTGCGTCTTGACAGAAAGATGAAGGGGATTCGTGATCTGGACAGGCGGGTGAAGGAATTTAATGGAAAGGTAAACAACCGTCTGTGGCTCTAACCACTAGCCCAGAACCCAGAACAATACATTTACTTGTTATACTGCAACTTGTAAACAGAAAAGATAAAGAGGCCCACATTTTAAATAGAAATCCAAACTTATATTAAGAAGATGAATAATGGGGCCACCATTTGATTTCCGTGTATATGTGTGCGCGCGTACGTTCGCATGCGCACAAACATGGGTGGCCATGGGTGGGTGGATGCTTGCACATTCAGAGTTACATGAATTTAGTTGCAAAGTTAAGTAATAAGGTTGAGTACTGTACTGTAAGAAGTAAAGATTACATTTATAACTGGAACTTTACACTAATTGTCAATAATTTGATTCAGTGAATATTATTGTGCATCCCTTTGGATGAATTTCTATGCCACGTAAAACCACTTGGAAAACAATGGGTTACAATATTTAATGTGATGTACAGTGATGTATGTCATTGCAGGTTTCCTAAAATGGAATTTCATGTGAAAAAAATAAAATCTTGACCTCAATCATTAGACACAAATATATTGATAGGTTCTAAAATGAACCTTCAAGGAATATCTTTATGATTCAAAGTAAAACCTTTAACCTTAATTGAAAGAGGTAAAACCCAAAGCAGATATCAGTGGGAAAAGTATGACTTCCCTATTCATATTCACTCTAGGCTTTGCACTTGATTAAGTTTTACTTTCTCAAAGTAGTTGTGAAGATCCGGATTAGAATTGTGACAGCAACCCATGCTTGTCCATAAGAGGCAACTAACGGGATCGGGTGGTAAAGCTTGCTGACTTGGTTGACACATGTCATCATATCCTAATTGCATGTATCGATGCTCATGTCAATCAGTGGATTGTCTGGTCCAGACTCGAATATTTACATACTGCCATCATATGGCGGTAGTATCACTGAGTGTGGAATTAAACAACAAACAAACAAACACTCACTCAAAGGAGAAAATATATAACAATGGAATGACATCACAAGTTGTTTTTAATTAATTTCCTGATTTATGGTAAATATATATATGAAATAAATTAAACATTCTCATGTTTACTCATGTTTATATTTTCTTCTTTTCCAGGCAAAACCATACAAAAAGGAACAACGTAAAAGGAAAATGAAAGAAAGAGATGAGTCAAGAACATGAATGAATGTCTGATACGTGATGACATGCTTTACTTGTTTTTACATGGCGAAATGCATAAATATTACAAGGTAGAAACATAAATCTATTCTAATAATAGTAAACATCATACATAGCATCAAGTAATAACAAATTCATGATTTACATAAAATACACAAGAAATTCAGGACGGGACATTATCTACAAACTTACCGGTAAGTGTTTCAGACTCGTATGGTATCTACTCAATCAGCTTCATGTAATATTTCTGAAGTAAGTGAGACGATCGGCATGGATGGTTAGGTTTTATTAGGATGGTCTTGGAATTGGCTTGGTTCTTCCCACCCTCAATTACCCTGTGTTTCATATTCTTTATTCTGTTCTGGGGGTGTCGGAGTAGCCTAGTGGTTAAAGCGTCCACTTGTCACGCCGAAAACTCAGGATCGATTCTCCATGTGGGTACTAAACTCACTCATTCACCCATTCTATTCTGATAAATACCCTAAACACTGTTGACATAATTGATTTTGAGTCAAATTTAATAATTTTCAAACTGAACATGTGAGCACTTTATTTGACTTGTGTGCTGTATCAAATACAAAAGAGATGGCAGCTAAACATCTACCACTACCAGTGGGGTATTTTTAGTACAACTAACACTGGCCTGCTGGGTATTTGAGTTCTAAAAGCACTTTTGGTGTGGAATTAATCCCAGGATTTCTCTGGAAGCCAGTTGTTGGTTATCACCAGTAGAGCTGTGACGATATATCGTAGTATCGATAATCGTGATACTTTATCTGACGATAAATATATCGATACGTTTTTTCGTATCGTGATATGTATCGTTAAACTTAAAATTGTTAATTTTCATTAGATATTGACGGTTATGTCAAAATTTCTTGCTATTAAAATATGATTTTTTAAAGAAAATAACCGAAGAAAGCATATCCTGATATGCATCGAATCGAATCGTATCGTTCCAAGATATCGCGATACTTATCGTATTGTTAAATTTCTGTATCGTCACACCTCTATTAGTAACCATGATTCAAAATTAAATGACAAAACCTCAGACATAGGAGGAATAGCTGAACATTCCCCATTAAAATGTGACCAATAAAATATAAGATCTTGAAGTTCACAATCCCAAACAACTGAACACAGTGTGCCAGTAGGTCAAAAAAATCCTGTTGAATATGATCTCTTATTATCTTCTTGCATACACTTTGACAAAAACAATGGGTACCGGTAACCTTGATAACATCAAACCTGTGTATCTAAGGCATAGACATAAAATGGTTCACCGCGAGTTGTCACAGAGAACGTGATGTTATTTCTACTAAGCCAAAGTAATCTTAGTACTAAACCTTAGTAATCTAGTAGTCCTTATAAATGGAACAGACAGGAGAGTCGTCTGAAAGATTCTGATTGGTCCAATGGATATAACCTGATAATAAGAAAATGGTCAGGATTTGTTTTGATTAAAAGTGACCCATACATTATCCAAGGGTTAGGTGTGGACCCACTTGTACATAGAGATTTTTTTATTATCCATTTTATTCATGTACATTTGTGCAGTAAAACACGGTAAACAAGTGTGATGGCACTCTTCAGGGATGTCATTTTTAATTGTTTAATGATGTCACAGACAACGAAATACAGAAACAATGGTTGCTAGGCAAAAGTGATATGTCCACACATCATGTACTGAGAAAAACAAATAAAGGATCACAAGAAAATTCAAGCGTTTCTTTAATATTTTCCAGTTTTTCATCACCAGCTTTGAATAGCGCTGTGGTGATGAAAATTGGAAAATAATAAAGGAACGCTTGAATTTTCCTGTGATCCTGTATTTGTTTCTCTCAGTATATATATGACACTGGTTATGTTTCACCATATGGGTAATAAAAACTTTTATACAGCTGTAAAGGTTACAAAAGGTGAGTTTTAACTACATTAAGTTCAAATCAGTTTATGATTTTGCTCTACAACACAGGGTGCGACTTCAGGATTTGTTTTTCAGTACCTGCACTGAGTGCAATCTGGCTTATGGGTTTGGCTGCACCATCAAAATTTTGGTCGCACCATAAAATAATGTCACTGGTTCTAAAAAAGTAAAGTAAATATTTGTTTAGCAATTTTCATAACAAGTACTCAGTATCAAGATACATTCAACAGAATCTTACCCCATGATGAATTATTCTGTTTCAATTTTGCATTACCTGTATTTATAAATCTAAATTATATCATTACTGCTATGTAACTGATTTATGAGTGTACAAATGTTTCTGCTTGTAACAAGTCATGCGGCAAAAAACATATCACTTGCAGTTCCTAACTTCCCAATTAAGACAAACGATGACAGCTCCAAGATGTTGGAGGATTTATTGTTACCTGCACCAGGTGCGACCTGCTGCACCAGCCATTTTTAACATGCACCAGTGCACGTTTTAAATAGCAAAATCGCACCCTGCAATACAATGAATGACCATGTGATTCCATATTACACTTTAAATCATAATTTGTCTTTAACATGGTACATCACATACTGCACAATGATCAACAGAAGATGAGTGTACATGTACTTGGAGGACCGTTATGACTGGAGCAGTGAAACGAACACATCTGACTCCTAAGTTTGTATGCCTGTATAGTTCTTGCTTAGTTGAGTGTCTGTTCATATATTTACTTAACTCAGCTTGTGGACATTCTTGTTATTATCGTCTATTTATTTCACATTTTACACATAGTGTATGACTTTCATGTATTGTCCTAAATAAATGATTTATTACATTTTTGACTTGGTGTCTTTATTTACAAACAACCCTGATGGAATAGACATCATAATTATGATAACAATCATAAAGATCTACACAACTTGTACAAATGTAAACATCAGTGTTATGGAAGACAGTATTGAGTATGACTGGTCACATTAAGGATAATGGTTTTGAATATTTGGCCACTGATGTGATATGTCAATAGGTTATAAGTGTACTAACCGGTTGGTATTGTTGATAATCACATGCTCAGTCCATAACACAAGGTGCGGTGGAGTAGCCTAGTGGTTAAATCATTCGTCACATCGAAGACCCAGGTTCAATTCCTCACAAGGGTACAATATGTAAAGGCCATCGAAATCAGTATGAAGCCCATCAAAGAGCTAGTGTTTTCTAATATTGATGGTAAATAATTCATGGTACTATCTTACCAAATTATGGAGCATAAATTGATTTTGTGCTACTATTCTCCTCTGACAAATATTCAAAATATAAGGGATACCACCCTTTACTGGCTTAGGTTTGGAAACTCATTCATCTTAATAAAATAATCAAAAAAATAAATATAATCTAAAATGGCTCATTTTGTAAATGATAAAAAAACAAAGGAATGTACATTAATATTTGTTTATAGGACCATGTAAATCTATAGTGCAACTGGCTCAGTCATATAAAATATACACCCTTGTACACAGGGATTTATCTAGTATTCTGAACTAACTTCCCCTGAAAAATGAGTTGGAGAATAGGTGGGTTTTTTTTCAAAATTTATATTTACCTTTGTTCTGAGGTATTTCACCTATGGATTTAGTGGCAAGTCTAGTTTCTGAAAAGGAAGTCTCTTGGCTCATTTTTACTGTATCTTATTGAGATAATTTAGCCAAAACCATTCTCTAAATTATGCATGTTTCAGGGACAATGTTAGTCAGATCAGCCTCTGTGCAAATCCTTGGTACATTTGACAAACAATTATGAGAATCACTAACTTGGCACTGAGATCAAGGGCATCACAATCATCATTGAATGATAGTCAGTTTTACCCTGACTGGCTACAATCAAGGGAAAATTATCCACGATTGGCAAGGTTAAACTTGATACAGTAACAAGCAAGTTTTAAATGGAGAAATTGCATAATTATTGTGGATTGCACACTAGCAGCATATCTTCACACCAGACAACAGGTTTTCTGATAAACAATATTTAACAAGAACAAAATATCACTTCAACCTTAAAATCACATTTCTTGCCCTGAGGATGCAAAGAGAAAAATCTTTAACGTGATAAGTGTCACTGGACAAAAGAATTAAATTCACAATTCAAAAGATAACCTGTATCGCTTCAATATAACAATCATGAGAAATACATATGTGATTTACCACAGAAAAAGACATTCTGACGCAACCAGTTAAGTATTTTCAGAAGCCCATTAATATTGCATTTAATATACCACCATAAGATGAGGACTAGAACTACCAGATTATGTTATCTGTTTAGTCATCCATATTTCTTTTTAAACTTGCTGCTGAGTTCTTCATTTTCATTGTTCTGGGGGACCCTGGCAGGGCTCAGATACTTGTAGCCATGGATCATGAAGGCAATGGAGATAACTGAAAGTAAATAATTAGACATTGCAACATGTTCATGAACAACTCTGTAATTGCGATGTCTTGTCATCAATATTTACGCCATTGTCAAGCAGCAGTACAATAAGGTGTTACCTTCATACTACTGACTTCTTTGTCATCAGTTAAATTCTAAGAAATGATTCTCAAAGAATCCTTATTTTTTACACTGACATTATTATACTTATAATTTTGGATATATTCTATCAAAGTAATAATAATAATAGTCCATTTATATTGCGCATTTATCCATGCACATTGCATGCTCAAAGCGCTGACATATTACAATATGGCAATGAAACATAATACAGATTTAGTTATTAGAACATGACTAGCAAACTGTAAAGAATGTTCACTTACAGGACACAATGAATGGGGCTGACACACCAACACACAACTCGACAGTGTTGTAGATAAGGATCTCTGTCACATAATGTACAAACACAACCACGAATGAAACCAGTGTCAGGTTGTACACACTGAAACAGAACAGACATAATTTTGACCGACTTCAACTTTTAATCTGTCATATACACACTGTACATACACTGTCTACACACTGTTATAAACAAGACCAAATATTCTACTCTGAAAAACTCTGTGGTATACTTCCGAGGTGTCAAATCACAATATGACTTCAGTCATCAATCAGCTGTTTCACCTGATGATACAACAAAGATACGTGAAATCATATATTTATCCAAATGTAATTCATATGCAATAATTATCAACAGACAGTAAAGAACGAGATTATGATAGACTGTCTCACTTATATCTGCATATTTTGTTTAAGTAGAAGATAGAAGAATAATAATAATAAAAGACACTTCATACCATACACATAATATATTCCAAAAACACTCACGCTTTGTTATAGATATCAATAGCACAGCTGAATCTTAAAACACCTGAAATAAGTGTCCATATACCAAACAGTCGAGCAACCAGTCCATTCACTGAAATATCAACAAGATATAACTTTACAATCATATGAAGAGAAGGGGCAACATCAAACATGGAGCCATGTCTTTGGCCTGTTTCTATTATCTGTTTAAACATTTGCATGACAGATCTACCAATTTGATTTGGAAAAACGAAACTAGTTGTGTGTTTCTGGCGACAACAGACTATACAGCTTATACCTGTTCTAAAACGCCATACTGAACAAACTTCATGGATAACAACTTTTTATATTTCGTGAGTGCGACGTTTCGATACAGATTCTTGTACCGTTGAATCTGTATCGAAACGTCACACTCACGAAGTTGTTATCCATAAGTTTGCTCAATATTGCACTTCCCAACTTCTAAAATGCCACTCAGAGAAGTTCTAAAATACCATGTAAATATTTGTAAAGTCATTAATTATCTGGTTCCAATATAAATGATTCGCATAATTTTGCATCGGTTGGAATACAAATTACATGGTTCAGTTGCAAGCGACTAGAATATCAGAAACTGCATAGACTACCGTGTCAACAAAGATCAGCTGATACTGTCCCGGTCGGCCTATGCCGTTAGTGTGACCTGATGACATCGAGTGTGGCGTGATACTACTTGTACTCATAGCTGTGTGTGTGTAGCCTTACCATTCGATTCAGAAACAGTGTAGAGTCGGGAATATAGAAAGCTGTGGTCAACGAAACATTGCATCGTATTCCCAAATGCCATCAAAGATACAAATCCAATCCAAATGCTCAAATACTTCATATATCTGGAAGTCTTTTTCGGTGAATTTCGTGGTGCCATTTTCAGGCTGTCTGCTTGAGACCGGAAATGCATCGGCGGTGGGAAATATTACGACATGCAGATATCGTCATAAATTTTCCATCACATAACAAAAAGATAACATCTGTTTTCTGTTCAAGAATCTATCAACCATATTCATGAATTATGCAGTTGGACATAAAATTTCAACTTAAAGTTTAAATTCAGTTTTGGGGCATGTCGTTAAATCGGTGGATGACGGAATACGTTAACAACGCATAAACAATAAGCTGCAGATGCCGACCCGATAACCGATTCATAAATACAGGAACTAGCTTTTAATACAGTTTAACATGTTTATACCTATTTATGTGGCTATTCGGATCACCATGCATGAAATAACACAATGTCACGATCGCCAGTTTTCATGACTGGCGTATGTCACTGAAATCGGAAAAAGGTTTCCAGTCATTCGGATCATTAATTGTATTTCCTGAGCCAGAATCAGGGAATTTAGAAGACGGTGATTTAAGCAAAATAAAAATGAAGTCAAAATCAGACAAATTAAAACGCTCACAATCTTTACCTGATGGAGATGAGGTCCATGAAGAAAACGGTGTTCTGTTTTGGGTCAACAAAAGTGGTTTCCCAATTGAAGATAGAACTTGGCAGAGAATGTGGGATCATGTGGCCAAAATCCATCCAGAGGGACACAAAATGGTGCAGGGAGTGAGACAGAGTACAGACTTAGTTACGGTAATAAACACAGTTGATATAATTATATATGTAATACATTTTGTGAAATACACAATGACATTTATATCTTGTATTAATTTAATAATGCTATTTCCACATGATATTGTCCTGATTTGATACAGAAAGAGTCATGCTTCATGATATATGCCATGCTTGTCGTAAATGGCAACTAATAGGATCAGTGGTTAGGCTTGCATACTTGGTTGACACATGGGTATGTATCCTAATTGCATAGATTGATGCTGTTGATGTTAGTACATATAACTGCATAATCTGGTTCAGACTCAAGTATTTACAGATCCCTTGTCATAGCTGGAATATTGCTAAGTGCAGCATTAAACAACAAACAAACAGTTTGAAGGAGCTGAGAATGTCCCTTTCCATAAACAGAATTTGGTTTATCCTTTTACAACAGCAGTATGATATCATCATCATCATCATCATGATCATATTCTTAGTGTAGCGGCCATAAAATTCAAACCACGGACCTTCTAATCCAAAGTCGGACACCTTGTCCACATGACCAAAGAGGTTAACCCCGTCAGCAAGCTGACAAGGTAAGGATGTCATCTGTGGGATGACTCCACGCCCTGCTACACACTCCCCTGTCAACAGAAGGCACGTTCCGAGCCGCATAGTTGGGTACTGAGACTTATTTTGCTCAAATTTGATATGAACGTGCTCAGCCCCACGTTGGGCGTCAATGTAGCGGTCATAAAATATCCGAGTCCCGTGCTGGGATTCGAACCACTGACCTTCTAATCCGAAGTCAGACGCCTTGTCCACATGACCAAAGAGGTTAACCCCGTCAGCAAGCTGACAAGGTAAGGATGTCATTTGTGGGATGACTCCAAGCCCTGCTACATAAGCAAGAGAGAAAGTGACCAGGTGCAACTTGCCTGAAGTTATGCATAATGTACTGATGAGGTCTTTGTTTAATGCTGATTTTTGAATGCTTATGCTAAAGATTATTGCAATGTCTGGTGGGGAATGGGATGGGGTGGAGTGGATAGGTGGGTGTATGTGTGCTTGTTCTAGTCCAGCTGAGGGTAATGCATGGTTTCATTGTGCTAGCCCAGTGGGTTAGAATGTCACTGTGTTGACATCAAGCTGACCACTCCTTGTTTCATCCCCTCTAGCACCAGGCAGGGTAACACCAAGAAGAAATTGTTTTCACACATTTGTTATGATGCTGGTTAAGGATAGAACAGCTGACCTGCTCTCTAGGGAGACACTCTCTGTTCACTAGACCATGGAGGCAGTCTGCTCTTGCTTCCTTCTTAAGTGACACGTGATGTCGATTCGGGTTAGAATTGGTCTTCAGTAACCCATGCTTGTCGTAAGAGGCGACTAACAGGATTGGCTGGTCAGGCTTGCTGACTTGGTTGACACATGTCATCAGTTCCCAAATGCGTAGATCGATGCTCATGCTGTTGATCACTGGATTGTCTGGTCCAGACTTGATTATTTACAGACCACCGCCATATAGCTGGAATATTTCTGAGAGTGGCATAAAACTAAACTCACTCACTCACTTCTTAAGTATTCTTAATTGCCATCTTTACCTTTGGGCATCTTTTATCCAGTAAATCTTTGTTGATTAAATGCATCCAGACAATATATATTAGAATTGAAATTTATTCTCTAGAGTGTTTACTACAATATTATATAGATAATAACATCATGTGTAACTATAGGTTATACTGTACCATAAATAATACTTTTTTCTGAAAAGAGCACAACTAATTGGTGTTAAAGGAAAATAAAACTGCAGAATATAAAAGCAAACATTATTAATTGTTTCTTTGGCTCATTGATGTGAAACTGTCAACATAAGAGGGCTAAATGCTTTTATCTTTACTGCTTATTGTATGTGTACAGATGGAATGTGCCAGTGCCTAACACACAATTAGGGAGTGGCTCATTATTATAAAATACACACACTGACACAAGCCAGAATGTATGTTATGCTTGGGACCACTAGCCACCATATAGCTGGTATATTGCTGAGTGCAGCGTTAAACAACAACCAAACAACTAGGGACCCCCCAAAACATCTGACATATTGGGTCATCTTGCGATATGAGTTCAAGCAGTTCTTGAAAAGGTACATGTCTTTGTAAAGACTTGGTAAATTATATTCTGTAGTCTTTCTGAATGTTATAGTCGATAACCTCAAACTGGATTTGCTCTTCACCCTGACAAAACCACATGAAGCACTATAAAATCATCCTTTTGTCTCTGCTATGTGTAGCATGGTGTAGTCACACTTCTGAGTTGGATTGGATAGGCAGATTCTTTGGGCATGTTGAGTCCGGGGCCTAACCACTTTTATCACCTTTGAGAACTCACTGTTTCATCCAAATTTAAGCTTTGTAGTTGAATAAAGTGTGTGAGTGAGTTTAGTTTTACGCCGCTTTTAGGAATATTCCAGCAATATCATGGCGGGGGACACCAGAAATGGGCTTCACACAAGTTGACTAAGGAAAAATCAAACAAACAAGACTGAATTTCATGCAATTTTTATGAATCAACTTTTATCAAATTCAAAACTACAATGTAACTGTATGTGACACATGAAAACATCATTGACACAACACTGTCAAGGAGAGCTACAATATGGAAGCATCAACCATTGCGAACAGTGTAAACATCTTGTATGCATGTAATAACGTCACATTTCGCATTCACAAAACATCTGGGCTTAGATTTTTGAAGCTCTCTTAGCGCTAAGATAGTCGTAAGTTAATGTTAATGTATGGCATTTACGACTATCTTAGCTCTAAGAGAGCTTCGAAAATCTAGGCCCTGATAGTACGAATCACATAAAGCTGATTTCTTACATTTAACCCAAGGGCTTAAAAGAGAAACATCTCATTTTAAGCCCATGAGGTAAAACACAGGGGCTTTGAAAGCAAGCATCGCTGGTATCATTCCAAAGTATGATAGAACAGACCATACAATTAGATTCAGTGATGTGTAAGTGAGACACTGTTGACAGCCACAGTTCCACCAGGCCTCTCAGTTAAGAAAATACTATCCAGAACTGTATCCATAAGAGAGATGCAGAAAATATGCTGTACTAAGGGAAGAATCAAAATAAACATTCTACATGGCAGTAAATTAGTAATTCAATCAGTGGTAACGCTGGTCAGAGAAATCAGTCTCACAACACGCTTTTGAACACAAATTAAGATTATTGTCATGATCATTACTTGTTAAATTGTTCCATGTCATATTTAGAAATTTGACCTATTAGTTTCCCTAAAGGGGTTGTTGTCGGCACAGTTACTAGAGGTGCTATGACAGCTCCAGAGTTATCTCCCCTTAACCAGGTTTGAAAACTCTCAAGGGATTTATTGTCCCCAAAACACTATTGAAATGTAAATGAAAAATTGATAAAGAAAATCATTTGTGTTGTATTGTTATGTATATGATGATACTGATTGTGATAGATTTGTATCGTCAGATCCCGGCACCACAGGCTCCACTCAGCTTCTCACCAACGGTTCCTATCGGCGATCGGGTTGAGAAGATTCAGAACTACATGACAGAACTCCAGTATCCTTCATATTTGAAACCCTATACTAACTATTTTCAACAGTTAGAAATATTATTTTCTTTCGTACATAAGGCCAGACCAATTTAATATCTTGTTTTACAGATATTTGTCCTCAGAAAACCTAGAGGCAGGAGGGGAAAAAAATAAAAATAAAAATCACCAGTCAAAGTAACATTACTTTTAAATACTAAAAGTGTTTTACTTTTGGCAATTTATGAACTGTATATGGGGTAAAAAACAAGTTTACATTTTGGGCCAATAAAAACATTATGATTTTATATTTAAAGCGGGGAAATTAATTATATTTTTTTTCTCATTCTTGAATAATTACAACCCGCAGATCCGTAAAACAAGAAATAAAATTGGTCTGGCCTAATGTAAAAAAAAGTAAAAAGACATTCTCTTTTCTTGTATGACGTACAGGAGGCTGAATGATTTGGGTAGATTGTAGGGCTGGGACAGGTGCAAATTTTCTACCGGGTACCCGGATACTTGTTATGTTAATTCCTGACATCAAATTTGCAAGAAATGGCAAATATATTCATCAGCTCGGAGGCTAAAATTTCGAGTTTTTCAATATCTTAATCATGTATTATATTCAAAAGATTAAAAGAAGTGTAAATTATGTCTCAATCTTCAAAGACAATACAACCTTTTAATGAAAAGGTAACACATTACATTGTTTAATCTAATTAGTCACACGATCATAGTGAGTACGGGTACCCAGGTCCAGCTCATTACCCACCCATCCCAGGGTATCCGGGTTACCAGTCCCAGTCCTAGTAGATTGTTATGTGGAGTGGAAAATATTGTTTAAAAGATAGAATATATTCTCAACTGAAATAATGGTGTTATTCCTTCTTTTTTCTTCTAAATTTTACCGTTTACACATGCCCAGAAATAAACAAGTGCACATTTAAGATTCTCATTTAAAGCATTGTAGTCACAGATATGAATTCTGTTCATGCCTCATCCTTGTGGCTTAATTTTATGACATGATCTGACAGATGTGTGGAAATTAGAGGTTTCCTTAACACAGGAAGATATAATCATACAGGAACACAGTTTTTCGAAATCAGAAAAAACAGACCAATATCAGGGTAAGTAGAAGACTGACTGACTGAGTTTGGTTTTACGCCGCTTTTAGCAATATTCCAGCAACATTTCGGCGGGGGACACCAGAAATGGGCTTCACACATTGTGCCCATGTGGGGATTCGAACCCGGGTCTTCGGCGTGACGAGTCAACGCTTTAACCACTAGGCTACCCCACCGCCCCTAGGTAAGTAGAAGAAGAAGAAATATGACAGTTGAACATCTCCAGTCCTGGGTGCTGTTGTACAGAACAACCTTAGCGCTAAGACTACCTTAAGTCTATGTTCAGGTATGGGAGTTACGGTCACCTTAGCGCTAAGATCGCTTTGTACAACGGCACCCTGATCTCCTTAATACAGTAATGCATCATTCCGGACAGTTACTTAGTTTGTATGTTTGTTTGATGTGACACTCAACAATATTCCAGCTATATGGTAGCAGACTCTAAATGACTGACTGACTGAGTTTGGTTTTATGCCACTTTTAGCAATATTCCAGCAACATCACGGACGGGGGACACCAGAAATGGGCTTCACACATTGTACCCATGTGGGGATTCGAACCCGGGTCTTCGGCGTGACGAGTCAACGCTTTAACCATTAGGCTACCCCACCGCCCCGACTCTAAATGATGGCTATGGAACAGAGAATCCTGTGATTGACATCATGATGATTCATCTATACAGCTGGGATAAGATAATAATGGATCATATGTTGAAATTTGCCAATTATATAAAATTTGCAAAGTCATGACACTTTTCATTTATAAACATATAGAAAAGTTTCCAAAAGGCTGATACCTATTTTGGAGGTGAGGTGAAATTGGGTTTAACATCGTTCTTGAGAATATCTCGCTCATATGACGACGTGCATGCGTGTGTATGTGTAGGTGCGGCTGCTTGTACTAGCCCAGACTGAAGCTGGTTTTATAGTGCTAGCCCACTGAGATACCATGCCGCAGTGAAGCATGAATACCCCACTCAGACACATTATACTGACTCCGAGCCGACCAGTCCTTGTTGTACCCATTAATGCCGAGCGCCAGGCAGGGACCAACAAGTACGATATTTTAACGTCTTTTGGTATGACGCGGTCGGGGATCGAACCCGCGACCTTCCGCTCTCCGGGCGGACGCGCTAACCACTACACCACGGAGGCGGACATACTTATTTTGGAAGATTGATTAAAGTTCAACTTGTTTTCAGTGACCTTTTTGTCTCCTTTCAGTCTCATGGAATGTGCCAAAGAAATGATCCGTGAGTCTCTCCCAATCAAGTGTCTGGAGGCTGTTATCCTTGGGATGTATCCTTGATAGAACATTATTGTAACATAGTCATACAGTTGATGTTAGGACTGGGGTAGTGAGTGAGTGAGTGATGGTATAATGCTGCTTTTAGAAATATTCCAGCAATATCCTGGCAGGGGACACCAGAAACGGGCTTCACACATTGTGGGGAATCAAACCCAGGTCTCTGCCGTGACAAGCCAATGCTTTAACCACTAGGCTTTCCCTACTACTGACCCAGGACACAGGGGAAATTTTTCTGCTTTTTTTTTTTGTTGGTTCTGTAATGGTTCCCCTGTTGACAAACCTAGGGCTGCTGTGTGGATGAGTGAGCGAGTATGGTTTTACATACGTACGTACACACACACACACACACACACACACACACACACACACACACACACACACACACACACACACACACACACACACACACACACACACACACACATACATACATTTGTATAGCGCCGATATCCAGCTCTGCTCAAAGGCGCTTTGTTTTTCCCTCGTTCACTGGATGTCAATCTCAACGGCACATCGTATTGTCAGTCTCAACTCCCTGGGGATCATACAACTCTTGCAGCCACTAGACGCACCGAGTTATTGTAGCATTCCCATCCTTACGAGGTACCCATTTACAGCTGGGTGGACTGGGACACATAGTCATAGTACTTTGTCCATGTTTACTGCACGTTGCTGTACCCGCAACTAGGTGTTTGCACGTATTCATGTGGCCACCATCTGGTCATATACCAAGGGATTCGTGGGTTCTTTTAAGTGCACAGGGTTGTGTACCGTTGACTCCAAGGTTTTACACCTGCTTTTAGCAATATTTCTGCAAAATCACAGCAGGAGACCACATATATTGGCTTCAGACATTGCACCCATATGGGAAATCGAACTCAAGTCTTCGTCATGACGAACAAGAGCTTTAAGTTTAACCACTAGGATAGTAGGATACCCCAGCACCCTGCTGTTTGGATGAAGGATTGCCTCCATGGACCAGGAGATGAAGCATCTACTGGGAGAACATGACAAACATAGGGCTGTAGGTGAGCCTTAGTGGTCTAGTGAATAGAGCATCTGTGCAGAGAGTGAAAGGTCAGTGGTATGATCTTCATCCACGTCATACAAACAGCCACACCAAAGTATAATAATTTTCAATCCTTCAATAAATGCTTATCAGTTTATAGATGCATGTAATGGAGCAATTTATGGGACCAGAAACAAAGTGAGTTTTGATGGTACACAAACATTCTCAAGGGAAGGATAACAATATATGGATGAACAGCTTCTTCATTACAGAGAGGACGACATTTTGATCTAGGTTCTAACACCATTTTCAAGCAAGTGGTCACGTGGTAAAGAAGATGGTCATCCAAATATTGTTATCCTTCCTTACCGTTCCAACTTATAAATGCCTCTCAAAGAAGTTACGAAATTTCTCACCTCTGCTAAACAACCTTTAACCTGTCGAAGATACCTAACCAATGGCATGATGGGTGTTGAGCGATATCCAATCAGTTTCAAGAGTACATTTCAAGGCAGTGTTCATCGTCATGTGGTGCTGGGAATTTCTCATGGTGGGCGATATGGTGCTATTGGTATGAGCCGGAGGGACGATCTGATGTATAAACCTCTTTTGTTTAAGGTAAGTTGTTCCAAGAGACAAAGCTGATGTATCTCGAATACTGTTACAAGTGTCATTAAACCCTTTTCACGCATGCAAGCCATGTATGCTATCAACCAATATTTACAACCATGATTTATCCTGAATATTGATGACTGGTAAATAAATCATTCATTTCGAAAAAAAACATTTATTTAAATGTCACATAAGAAAAGTATAAATGCACTTTTTTTGCTGGAAAACCTTTTTGTGAACAGGGACAAGTATCAAAAGTATTGTTCCTATTTTTCAGAGTTTATCAGAACTGGTGTTCGACTTTGAGAAAGCCTACACAAACTGTGAGTTGTGTTTTTACAATTAATGATATGAAACTAAAATATACTGGGTGTGCACAAGGCTTGAAAAGGCCTTGAATTTTAGTGAATGGACTTAAATTGGCATTTGCATGAAAATTAACAATAAGACCTTGAATGTAACCCAGACTTAACACTGAAATTATTAAACAATCTATATACAAAACACAAAGGTGCTTGTGAATGTCCTTTGACTAAACCCGTGAAGGTCCGGGTTATGATGTCCCTTCAGTAACCCATGCTTGTCGTAAGAGGCGACTAGCAGGATCGGGTGGTCAGGCTCGCTGACTTGGTTCACACATGTCATCGGTTCCCACTTGCACATATTGATCACTGGATTGTCTGGTCTAGACTTGATTATTTTACAGACCGCCGCCATATAGCTGGATTATTGCTGAGTGCGACGTAAACTAAACTCACTCACTCACTCCTTTGACCAATGAAATAATGTATGGTAATGAGTAACATAAACTTTGCTGCTGACTCAGCATAAACGTTTTTGGCCATGTGACTTACCCTCATCAAATTATAAGGCATTATGTTGTTTTAATTTCATGAAACATTATTTTGACACATGTATTAAGTACAAATCCATCTACTGGTATATGTTCTAGATTGGCATGAAGTAAGGAAGGTCAAGGTCGGTCTACCGAGTCCACACGACCCACACAGCTATGAGACAATCCAGTGGAAGGTTGGTTGTTTTAAAATGTTCTGTATGACAAGGGCCAGTATGTGGTAGAACACATCACATGTCAGCTGAAATGAATAATACTATATAGGCCTATGCATTCTACAATGTGTGAACAAGATGAAGCAATATGTCATATCCTGAACTGACAATACCAGTTTTATAGATGTCAGTTGACACAAATTTAGTTTGGCAGAAAGCAATTTGTTGACTACATGTGTTGCTAAATTGATAACTATTAGAACTAAAAATCTGGAAAGTTTTCATAAATTTATTAAAAGTGGCCAACAATAGCAATTACTCTCAACAATGTGAAATGAGGGAAACAGGCTGGGAGGGGGTGTTTATTTAATAGTGCACTGGTTGGTTTGACGTGTGGAGCTGAATAGGTGAGGTGAGGTGAAATTGGGTTTAACGTCGTGCTTGAGAATATGTTTCGCTCATATGACGACGTGCATGCGTGTGTATGTGTATGTGCGGCTTCTTGTACTAGCCCAGACTTAAGCTGGTTTTATAGTGCTAGCCCACTGAGATACCATGCCGCAGTGAAGCATGAATACCCCACTCAGACACATTATACTGACTCCGAGCCGACCAGTCTTTGTTGTACCCATTAATGCCGAGGCCAGGCAGGGACCAACAAGTACCATATTTTAATGTCTTTTGGTATGACGCGGTCGGGGATCGAACCCGCGACCTTCCGCTCTCTGGGCGGACGCTCTAACCACTACACCACGGAGGCGGTCTGGAGCTGAATAACAAGATATGCCTGCTCATGTTTGTTTGTTGGTCTAAAAAAATAGCTGCGCCATGAAACGATTACTTGTGTGTTTTTGGGCCACAGTAATTTCCTGCTCTTAAACTTCCAGTAATTGTTTCTTAAGATGTTTCTCACCAGTCTCACTTGGTATTGTCTGACTTGTATTGATATGACATGTTCAGACATGTCACTGTGATTTGCCATCTGGACATAAACACACATTAACAGTTAAAACAGTATGATCGATCGATTCATCCTCTAAAAGTTTTTACCTTTGTACATTTTCAGACGCTGACGTTGAATGTGTCCAAATTATCAAAGAAAGAAATGACCAGAGAATTGGAGCAACACTCCAAATTAATACGAGCAAAGGTGAAAATGTTTACTTAGAGGTGTTCCTCACGTCTGTAATGTTTGATCTCATCCGCACTGTGTAAACTTCCCTGCAAACCACTAGCAAGAATTCTCAGCCTTGTCAGTTTCAAAAGGGATGCCAGTGAGTGAGTGAGTGAGTGAGTTTAGTTTTATGCCGCTTTTAGCAATATTCCAGCAATATCATGGCGGGGTACACCTGAAACGATTTCACAGATAGTACCCATGTGGGGAATCGAACCCGTATCTTCAGCTGACGAGCGAACACTTTAACCACAAGGCTACCCCACCACCGCAAGCGGATGCCAGATTACCATTGGTCCTCCGTTACCTTTGCTAGTCACAAATTGCGACATACTGGATCAGGTGGTCAGACTGAGTAACTTGGTTGATGGAATGTCGTACCCCGACCGTGTGGATCTGTGCTCACTATATCAACCACTGCACAGCCATGTCCAGACTGGATTATTTACAGTCTGTATTTATATGGTTTAAACATTTATTTTTTCAAAAAGAATATGGATTGGTAAACAAACTGTAATGGTTTATGTGAATACCTCTGCATTACAACTATTTTGAACTGAACTGACTGACTGAGTGTAGTTTTACGCCGCTTTTAGCAATATTCCAGCAATATCACGGCGGGGGATACCAGAAATGGGCTTCACACATTGTGCCCATGTGGGGAATTGAACCCGGGTCTTCAGCGTGACAAGCCAACGCTTTTACCACTAGGCTACCCCACTGCCCTTTTGAACTGAAACTGATAATTTATAACGAAAGATATCAGGAAAATTGTATGGGTACCAAGGGACAATAAGCAAGCAGGTTTTCTGTCAGTCATTTCAGCGTAACGTTTTCATTAGTTGAGTTGTAATGGTGCAAAACCATCAGATTTCAAAATAGCCAAGTGGACAGATTTTAAGATATTTGAATTAACAGTGGTTGTTTCTTTAGCATTACATTAAGAGAACTGAGTTTATATCAAAACCTTTTATATAGTAATATAAATGATTTCTTAATTCTAAACCCTTTTATGTAGTAATATAATCAGTTTCTCAATTCATCATAAGTGTACAAAAAGTAATGTAGGGGATCTTTCCAGGTATGTTTTCAAGAACAAGTAGGGTCGACTGCGATATGTCATCCATATTCATAAGCCTTCAAGTTACTGCAACTATAGTCTGTTTGCAGTGAAAACGTATCGATGAATTTCACTTTAAACAAGAAAGTAAATCGAATAAAGTGAAATTAAGATTGAGAATCCTCATAATTTTACCTTGCCAACTGAACATTTAAATATCAGAATTTTATTCATCATAGGATAAAAGTTGTTTAACAAACGATCATAGTTTCAAATCGTTATTATTGGTTTGTATTACAAGGGGGTATGCACATTAAATGAAACACCGAAAACAAGTAGGGTTGGTGTAAGTTAACGCTCATCACGTACCGCACTGCATTTGTTTCAGTGTTCCAACTACTGCTCTTACCCCCTTGTAATACAAACCAATAATAGCGATTTGAATCTATGATCGTTTGTTAAACAACTTTTTTCCTAAGATGAATAAAATTCTGAGATTCAAATGTTCAATTGGCAAGGTAAAATTATGAGGATTCGCAATCTTAATTTCACTTTATTTGATTTACTGTTTTGTTTAAAGTGAAATTCATCGGTACGTTTTCAATGCAGACAATAAGTCGTAGTTGGGAGTACATTTTCTGACAAATTCTTGAACTTGACTTGGTCTGTTGTGTTTATTTGTACTAGTCTTTTAATTACCCCTGGGGCAGTGGGTTAGCCTAGTGGTTAAAGCATTCGCTCATCATGTCGAAAACCGAGTTCGATTCCCCACATGGGTAAAATGTGTGAAGCCCATTTCAGGTGTCCCCCACCGTGATATTGCTGGAATATTGCTAAAAGCGGTGTATAACAAAACTCATACTAAATCTTAATCACCCCTATATTTGCGGCAATATTAGGCAGCTGATTTCGTAGTTTTATGATCCTGGTTGGGAATTGTTTTGCATAAAATTCATGGTGACAGCTTAGCGATTGAATGTTTTCACTGTTTCCAAAATTCGCAAGTACTTAATGTTATGACTCCTTCTGGAATAAGAGGAGATAAATATTTTGGAGTTTAATTATTTATGATCTTGTAGAACAGCAGCATATTAAAATTTTGTCTTCTTTGTGATAGCGTTCATTAAGTTGGAATACTGAAAACACACGCAGTTGCTGTTGGGGGCAAGTAAGGTTGTTCTCAAAATATAATTTGTGCTGCATGATTGTAATCATAGTATTGCGTTGGATGTGTTTTGCTAGGCCAAGTCGTGGATCACCCCACCCAATCTGCCCAAGAAGATGGCCACCTTCATAGACGCAGGTCGGGACATGCCCAGCACTAGCAAGTCTTCCCCAGTAGTCAAGATGACTCGATCGTAAGATTCTGCTTCCCTGTGAAACCCTTCTGAGATGCTTCATGTTGGAATTCGTCCAACATGAACAATAATAATCATGATTGAGTGGCGAAAACTATTTGATTGTCATTGTACATGCATAAATGACTTTATAGTGACAGCATAGCTTGAGTGAATAACATTGTCAGCTCTTTCTCTATTTGTCAACTCTTTCTCTATTTGTCAACACCAAAAAATAAACAAAACTGTATAGAACCAGATAATCATAAACTCCCCAGAGAAAATGAGGAAGGTTTTAACATAACTGTTTCAAAACTCACTTATAATCATTCCATATTCACTCTTAGGACCAGTCACCTACCTTCAATTAATGAACCTGAAGAGTTATGTCCCTTCAATAAGCATCCCACCATAACATGAGCGAAGATGATCGTAACCCCTATACTTTAACATTGACTTACGACCGTCATATTGCTACGGTCGCATTACCGGAAGTAATTCATCACCTAGATTAATGAGTGTCAAGTTATTTGTATATTGCTTGCAATGTTGTATGTTCACAATGTTGCTGATGATGATGTTTGTAATGTTGCAGACACTCTGTTGTGACCAAGTCACGTGATGAGCCAGCGCCCGTCAAGTCTGGCAGCAGTCGAGGAGCAGATTACCAGATCAGGATATAGACAGACTGTAGCACAGGCAGATGGCTGAAAGGAGCTCCCTGCTGTTGTTGACTTCTATTTATTATGATTATCATTCCATAAACATTCCAAGGCTGTGAATGATTTGATGATTATGGTCATCAAATTATTTGTGTAAACATTATTGTCATATTTTATATATTTCACCTGTACATGAAATCCCAAGATATTCTTTTGTAGACTGTCGTTTAAATTTTAAAGCTGAGAAAACTAAATCAAATTAGTCTTAAGGTAGGATGCTGTTCCCGTGTATAGTTTCCTTTCAGTAAATGCAGATATGATCTTATTCTCGGACCATGCAAATAGTAGGTTAATGAACATTCTGTAATATTTCATTGAAAATATGTCACAGGTATTCCACAAGCACAAGCGTAATTGAGGCCACCAATCAATTATAAAGTGCAGGATTCATTTAAGAGAAAATTCTTGACTCAGCAGTGTGGTATTGATACACTGATTCATCCTTTATTGGAATAATGACAGATGTAACAATTTCCTTAAAATGTTTATCCCGTTATTAATTAAAACCAATTCCCAATAATTTAACTTCAATTCACACCTTTTTATGACCTATAGGTCATGTCTGGATGAAGGTTTATCAACATTCTGTCTTTGTGGAGTCAATTCTGATATGTGCTTTTGAGATTTGACTCGGCTAGTATTCAATAATTAAGGGTGTAAAATTGAGACTAAGAGTGAAGAAAAAGATCGTATTCAAGAGTTGACAGGTTCATTGGCAACAGCAGATTTATTTGAAGGAAAACATGGTACTTGGCTGTCCTTTGGGTAGAGAATATGTGCCATTTACCAACTCAACCTTGTATCATTTTCAGTTGCATGTGTCAGGTGACAAGTGTCATAACGCCTGTTCCAGCTGCCACAATCCATGACATACTTGTTCCCCTTCTGATGAACTTTTGGCAAGAGCCCAAGAAATCTGAACTTGCATATAAAATGTAATTAAATGTATTTGAAACAAAAATACAGCCTCTGCTACACATATATTTAAGATATCATTTTCAAACCCATTAATCATGATTTAATATTTCCAAATCTTACTGTCAAATGAACACATATGTAATCATAATCCAAGGCACCTGTGAAATATCTGTACATATATCCCAATCATGTACATGTAATTCAGTTGTTATTGTGTCATAAATATTCTTTTGATAACCCTGTTCATATTTTTTGTGTAGCATGAGGTCCTCTAACCTGTGGAGATCTGGGTTAGTGAGTGAGTTTAGTTTTACGCATCACTCAGCAATATTCCAGCTATATGGCGGCGGTCTGTAAATAATCGAGTCTCGACCTGACAATCCAGTGATCAACAGCATGAGCATCAATCTGCGCAATTGGGAACCGATGACATGTGTCAACATGGCCAGCGAGCCTGACCACCCGATCCCGTTAGTCGCCTCTTACGACAAGCATGGGTTACTAAAGGTTGATTCTAACCCGGACCTTCACAGGTACATCTGGGTTAGAATCAGTGTTCGGCAACTTATGCTTGTCATGAGAGGTGACTAACGGGATTGTGTGGTCAGGCATGTTGAATTGGTTGAAGCGTATCATTGTTTGCCAGCTGCAAAGATTCATGTTCATGTTGTCAATCACTATATCGTCTGGTCCAGACTCAATTATTTCCAGACTACCATGATATAGCTGGAATACTGCCAAGTTTGGCATTAAACAACATGAAAAGCGCACAAGTTACAGATCAGGTGAATGTAAGAAACATGGAATGTAGTTGGTGGCAGGCTAATGTGTATAGTGGGGTCTACCATACAGAGTTCCAATACTGCACCTCCCTTAGCTCAAATGGCTGTGACAAAATAACCACTCAACACCAACTGTAAAGGTTGTATCAGCTTAAAATGAGAAAATGGTCTCACTGTTAACTGCAACTATGCCAAACTTTACGTACATTATGAAAAAATGAAGGCCATAAATGGTTTTCTAGATATGGCTGCCGTTGTTACCACTGCAGCCATGTTGAAATTCAGACTGAATTTTAAGAAAATGTTTATCAACTCCATGGGCGGGATTGTGCATACAAAGTTTCATTTTCATGGGCCTCATATTTTAATTGGTGAAAATCATCCTGAGCTCAACACATTTAAGGCAGGATCTGTGAAGTTGTTTCCCTCATTTTTAATTCCAGATAATATACCATTCAAAAAAAGTAGGGGATATTCCATTTTGCGAGCATAGCACTAGCCAATGCCAATGCACATGAGAAAAAGTAATATATATATATCCATACAGAAGAAACATTTCCAAAGGAATGGAATAAATTGTCACATTTTCCCTTAATTTCTCTTCATCATCTGTTTCCTCCTTGGCTTCATCATTTGCATTTTATCAATCTTGTAAATCCAATATCCCCTACTTTTTTAATGGTATACATTCCATAGTCATCACTGGCAATATCTGTCCACAGATAACACAACAAAACAGATAATATATAAACTCCATGGTTTATCAACAAAAAATGGAAATATCTTCCACATACGACATCATTCAAACAGAGACCTGCTACATATTGTCATCATAAACCAATGGACAGCAATAAAATATCCATGAGATATATACATTATTGTCTGACTGCTGGCTTCAGTGGACCTGTTTATATGCATAATACTGTGTGATTGCCTTGTCAACAAAAACAGGAACTCTTGCTGATGATTAATATAGTAGTGTTCAGCTAATTACAAGCAGCTCTTCATTACAGCACTCAAAGCTATTCAAATATACTTATATTTTACATCTGGTTCATAGCAGGTGGTTTTCTGGCAAAGTTTGGGCATGTGGATGGTACGTACTCCTGCTTCATATATACTAACCATCAAAAGTTTAGACTCACTAGTGCAAATGTAGCCACTTACTTCAATCAACTGTTCTGAACTAGATTTTGTAAAATATTCCATACATTTCCACATGAACTGATGTATTTTAAAATAAATTTGTAACGTTGAAAAGATTATTGTCATGAGTTTAAAAAATAATAACACTCAGTGAAATTTGGCAAATTCTTAACAAATCTTTACACCAAAACTCCGCTGTTCACATGCACGATATTTGCCCATGAGTTTCAGCAATTTGATGTCCAATTAATCTGCATAAGGTTTGCAGTTTGTCCCCCCAAGTTAGTGGAGAAATTCATCTTCCATACAACTTCGATACATATATACCGGTATACATAACATATAGTAAGTGCTTCAAGTGAGTCTAAACTTTTGATGGGTTGTATATAAAACTGGGCACAAGGTCGCAAAATTTTCATTCTTTGTCAACCAGAAAATTTTCCCAAGTAGCTTTTTTGCATTTAACAGGATTGGAAGAACCAAGATGTACCCTTTTAACATAGCCACATGTCGTTACCCAGCATCGCTTTTCTCCGCATATGTCCAGTGATGAAGAATGTATTTCAAATCAATACTAATAAATATTTATCATGGAACAACACAACAAAATCAGATGAGGTATGGAATTGATGAAAGTCTGCCATGGATTGTTTTACTGATCCACTCCTAAGGCTAAGTCACTGGCAAATACATGCTGAAGTGGTTTTAAAAACAGCTGCCGCCACATCACTTTGTGAGAAGGAACGCTGAGATGAGAGGGACATGGTCTGATGGACACAAGGGGTTTGGCAGCCCCCCTAGACCAGATATCTCTGCTTGGGACATCAGTCCGTACCTCCGCAACAGCTTCAACGGTCCCTCGTTGATATGGTGTGTGTATATCTTGTTGTTTCGAGTCTTCACTTCTTTGTGGAGTACATTATAAAAGATGAAATCGACAGTACATGATCCTGCACTGTGCTGCGTTGTCACCTCATCCCACTGATGGTTTAACCGAGCTATGGTGTGATGGTAGGAGGACACAAAGTTGAGTTCATGCCACAGGCGTCCGGAACCCATGGAATAGAATGAAAAGTCAGAAGGACTGGATGAGAAACCATAGGAAGTTCCCATGGGACTCAGATTAACTCCGCTAGACTGGGTGGACGGGGAGATGGACGCTAGGTGTTGTCAGGGGGATTGGAAAGAGTGTCTCCTCCTGTACTGGAGCTGAGTGACTGACAAGGGTCCTTCTTTTCTGTTAATGATGCCGTCTCCGATGAACGTGTATCAAGAACTTTCTGATACTGGCACTGATCCGTGATTCCAAATGAAGGACAAAAGAAATCTTTTTTCAGACGAATATCGCGTCCATGACGTCCATCTTTCTGTCCTGAGAGGAACCTAGCTATAAGACCTTTGTACTGAAGATAGCCACGAGAAATAAACTTATACAGATCACTATGAGGCTCCGAGTTGAAGTCTCCACACAGTAACACAGGGCTGTAGTTCATCTGTGATGTCTTGTCACTTGAACTATTAAATGCACATTTATCTAACTCGGCCATGAGGACCATGAGTTGCCCCAGTTTGATGTCCCCTCTCCGTGGGTTGAACAGGAGATGTGTGTTGGCCACACACAGTTTACCCACTCTGCCCTGGTACACATTCTGATGAGGTACCAGCTCCAGGATCAAGGCAATGTTATCACGGTCCAACAAACCACCTCTGCAGTACTCAACTGGAGTTGTTTTGCCCACAGAGAACTTGTCCTGCTTGTAGAATGTGGCACAGCCATCACACTTGTCTCCTGTCCTCTTCATATAAACTCCCCGGTAACCTGGAAATTACATTTCACTTTGAATAGATTTTCTGTTACATTTCTGCAGTTAATGATTAATGAGGCAGTTAAAGCTCACTGTAACTCAGATTCATACCATCAGCAGATCCTTACACACCTAAGGGCATTAACCTTTCATAGCAAATGGAGGTATCTGGATTAAGGAGAATGCTAAGTTTTCAAATACTTTTATGTCCCCCCTCAATCTGCCCTGACTTTCTGGTTGTGATTGGGCTTGCATACTGCAGATTCACACTCAATACAATGTTTGTTATCTGCCCAATCTAACTGTGAATGTGGAGCAGAATTTTTCATCGAAGAAATTGAAGTGGGTTACATTATCTATATTTTGTACAAACCATACCCTAATGCAATGCATTTCTATATATCTATGTATCTAAAGATTGAAACCTCAGCTCAGTTTCCCAAAGCGTTTAAAATGTTTTCTCTCGAAAGTCATGTATTGTAACCTAGGCTTATGAAAGTTGTACCATTATGGTCACTTTGTGAAACAAGGACTTTACTAGCAGCAACGCGAGGACACATATGACCAGGTACAGCTGCACAGGGCAAAAAATACTTCATAGCGAGATGAACTGCTAGTTTACCAGAAACCACTCCCAAAGACAACCCAAAATTCAATTTCTCCCATTTAAATTGGAAACAGCCTTACAGATGAAAATTATGAATTTGTAACATAAACATGACACATGCCTTATGATGGTTATTAACCAGACCTACCAAGGTTTTCCATTTGTGGTTTGAAGAAGTCCTGGTAGTGGTCTTCCTGAACCTCCTGCAGACACATCACCTGAGAACAGAAGACACACCAAGGTGAAAGAGGTTTTTAACATTTTGTGAAAGATATGTTTAATTTTTATTCTGAAAGTATAACTACTATAGCGGCAGGGCAGGGGTTGAGGAATTATAAATGGTGGAAAGTTGAGGTGAGGTGAGGTGAAATTGGGTTTTACGTCGTACTTTAGAATATTTCGCTCATATGACGACGTGTATGCGTGTGTATGTGTATGTGCGGCTGCTTGTACTAGCCCAGACTTAAGCTGGTTTTATAGTGCTAGCCCACTGAGATATCATGCCGCAGTGAAGCATGAATACCCCACTCAGACACATTATACTGACTCCGAGCCGACCAGTCCTTGTTGTACCCATTAATGCTGAGCGCCAGGCAGAGACCAACAAGTACCATATTTTAACGTCTTTTGGTATGACGCGGTCGGGGATCGAACCCACGACCTTCCGCTCTCCGGGCGGACGTTCTAACCAATGGTGGAAAGAGAAGAGAAAACCATGCATTCTTTATGTACAAGAATAGGGACAAACTTTTCACAATACCAAACAACTGAAATATATACATTTTGTGAGGCCCACGCTGTGTCTTCAGAGCCTTTATATTGGTGTGACATTAATATTTCTGGTTGAAAGTGCTAGTACACCTACATCTGGAGAGTGAGACGTTATTTCCTCCAGAAGTCGTTCCCGGCGATATTTCCATTGCAAGACCTGCGTTTCAGCCTCCCGGTATAAATATCCATGATCCTCCAGAAGCCTCTGTGCCAGAACGTTGTAGGACATGACAGAGAACTCCAGCCCAGCATGTCGACACCTCTCGTGCTCCTGCCCATACCGAGTATACTCCCACTCTCGTGGCAGCTTCATCCGATCTGGAACAACCAGCCACACATCATACAGGTATAGGAAGTGTTAGAAGTAACTCAAGGATTTAACGAGATTTCAAAAGCTGGCAAATTAGGAAACCCTCACTTGCAGAGTCTGGCACCTAATGGCCGCACAAAGTCAGCGATCTAACTCACTAAGAAACCGTGGCTTCCACGAAAATGGAAGACAAGACAACTCAGGCATCGAAAATATCGAAATGGCACGGACAAAAAATGTTCTCGGTGCCCTTATGGCACTCCTAATTTTTTAGAGACATAACACACCTTTGGACTCTTAATAACCAAACAAAACACTTATGCAAATGACAACCAGGCAAAAACATTTATTGACTTTAACGCCCAGGAAATCACTGGAATTATGATGGTTCATGTAAAGAAATCTGGTTGTTTTTTCATTTAGAGTGTTAGGAGTACTGATAGTTAAGTTATTGAAGAGGAAATTGTGTATGTTAGATATATAGAAAAAAGTGAACCTCTCACACAATTCTTAGCTATTAAAGGTGTTGGGAAAGCAGAACAAATGAAACATAAGAAAGCCATCTTAAACAGAAGACATATCAGTGATAACCGAAAAATGGTTACATTTGTTGTTTTCTGACAATAAATTTCAATAGATCATCATCCTTGCTACAGTCATTTATTCTAAAAACATGTGGGCACACCTGATTTCTGAAAGGCACACCTACAATATTTACCTGGTGCCCTAAGGCACACTTAGAAAAAAAGTACTTCTATGCCTGCAACTCGTAGTCTAGATCACATACTTTGTGTACCCCTCTGACTAATGTAGCCAGCTGCCACAGCTGAAAACAATGAATACACAATACCATTTAGTGGTAAAATGTAACATATGCTATATTTGAAATTACATTTTTACAGTGAAGTACAGATTCTTGTACTTTTGTTAGGCTGAGTCCCATCCAGGATTCGACTGACAGACTGACTGAGTTTGGTTTTACGCCACTTTTAGCAATATTCCAGCAACATCAGGGCGGGGGAACACCAGAAATGGGCTTCACACATTGTACCCATTTGGAGATTTGAACCCGGGTCTTCGGCGTGACGAGCCAACGCTTTAACCACTAGGCTACCCAACCGCCCCTCCAGGTTTCGAAGCCAAATATACCAGTTACATTTGTTACATATGACCTCTTTCTAAATGGCATTGTGTATTCATAGATGCTTTAAGGTTCAGTGTCGCATTACCATCTCATCCTACAGGTACCAATGACTTATATTTCGAACCAAAACCAACAAAATTCTTAATAGTAAACATGGTAAAGCTGTCCAGTAATTTCATTCCTAAACTACTTTTCACGAACAACTTTGTCTGATTTATGACCTGGGAACAGGATACCATCAAACCAGAGGTTGATAGTAGTGATACAATAACCATGGGGACATGATAACACATTGTCAGGTCACTCTGACCCAGAATACCCACTGCGGGATAAGAAGTAATCATGACAAAGTGCTACAAGTATACTTTATGAAAGACCTCAGCTGCCAACATGATCTAGGCAGGCAGTGTACAACAGTACATTAAACCTCAACACAGAGGTCACAGTGACCCAATGACCCAGGTCAGTTATCAGTCCCACTTCCTGACCATGACAAACGCACAACAGCAGCGGCTCAGAACAATGACTCTGGCAATTCTAGACAAGGAAACAGGTGTAACTTGTTGATACAGCTACAGCAATTAGAACCCACCTTTCTGTCCACAACATGTTTAGTGATACGCCCAGGAGTAATGAAACAAAAAATTTATGTTAAGTTGGAGATCACCTGGATAGGCTGCATGACTGAAGACAGTGAAGAGCAATTTAAGGTGTCCATCATCTGTCTTTCGTCATTTGATTAAAAATATACACATCCCAAAATATGACATTTGTTGACCTCATGATTAATGTAATCTTGCATGAACCAAACCTGGCTGCTAGTTACAAATACTGACTGACTGAGTTTGGTTTTACGCCGCTTTTAGCAATATTCCAGCAACATCAGGGCGGGCAACACCAGAAATTAGCTTCACACATTGTACCCATGTGGGGATTCGAACCCGGGTCTTCAGCGTGACGAGCCAACGCTTTAACCATTAGGCTACCCCACCGCCCTAGTTACAAATACATCAATTCAGGAGATATTGTGAAAGTATTTAATTTCTTTCAAGATGCTGCAAAGAACATACAGAGAAAACCCAGTCTAAATGCTCTACTGCATTTTGTGACAACAGTCACAATTGTCATGCTCCTTGTTTGTAAGGATAGATCTAGATTCAGAGATCAGAGGAATCTGAGTACACATCAAAATAGTTTTATCATGATTGGTGCCAAGTGTGAGTGGATGACAGTCAGTGATAAACCTCTGTCTTTTCAGTTAAAAACTTTTAAACCATGATGAGAAGTTTGTGAATTTGTATGAAACTGAACACACTAGCATGGATTCTTTACTTTCAAAGAGTACATATTTGAACCAGTTTGAAAACAGGTTTATCTCCATTCAACCATCATTACAAAAGCAAAGTGAGATGGCGACAGTCTGTAAACAAATCAGGTTCGGACCATACAATCCAGTGATCAACAGCATGAGTCTCAATCTACACAACTGGGATGCAATGACATGTGTCAACCAAGTCAGCGAGCCTGACAACCCGATTCCAAAACGCATGGGTTGCTGAAGACCAATTCTAAGCCAGGCCTTCACTGGTAGAATCAATGATTGACATGTCACAGTAAATGACTTGCACCAAAACTTTGGCTGCTTCGATGTTAATGAATTTTACAACAGAATATTTTTTGTTGTAAAACACTTTTTTTGTCAAACTTTTATTGTCATACATGGTCATGATATTCTAGGATTCGCACTACAGTATTTCAACACAATTATTAATCAAAACTGACACTTGGAAGTGTAACCTTGGCTAGGATTATAAAAGTGCCTTTCAAAAATTTCTTTTTTTATGATCATGGTGATGCAATCATCAGTAGCATTACCATATCATGGTCTAACTTACATAGATTCTCATTCACTCAGGCCTACCAAAGAAAACTGTCCCACTGTGCAGAAAAGCCCACATTAATCGTGGAAATAGCAACATAAACATATTACCTCGCTACTGAAACAGTAAAGACTATGAAACTGCAACATTTTTATATCACCAAACTTTGACCTCAACTGCGCATGCGCATTACTATCCGCGCGTCTTTCAATTTTCCGAGCAACCTCGCCTCGCGTATAGAAAGTATTGAATATGTCGAAATAATTGCTGTCAAACATTTCATACAAATGGAAAGTAAACTAATCAAATGTGCACACAAGTATCATGATGATAAATGCCAAATAACACAACAGAAATACTTTATAAAGGGAATGTAACTTTTGTCCAAAATCGAAGTTGCAGGTTCTTTGTTTTTTATCCAGTTTTAGCGATTTAAAGTTGCTGTTTTTACCGTTTCAGTAGCGAGGTATGATGTTTATGTTGCTATTTCCACAATTAAAGTGGGCTTTTCTGCGTTTTTCTGCAAAGTGGGAAAGTTTTCTTTGGTAGGCCTGTCACTGCTCTGCAGGATTTTAAAATGATCTTCGCAATATGTCAATGTGTTCCTCCAATACCAATTTCTAAAAGGACATAAACCTCCATTTATTATTCAACTAATCATTTCAGTTACCATGGTCGCAGGGAGAGTAAGTGTAAAGACCAGGTCATATGACCTAGGGTCAAAATATTGACCTGTATACTTGGTTATCAGTTCGACAACAGATATATCACCTGACCAGCAGCCAACAACACTTCAACATATGTTATCCATTATCATGTGGGTATAACAGCTGTTCATACATAATACAGTGACCTTTGACCTCTTGGACTGACCTTGAACTGGTTTTACTTGTTTGTGCTGAAGAAATCAGTACGCCTTGACCTGTATACACCACTGTGTACAATAGTTACTCCCCAAGATATAAATAACGGAATGTACTTTTACTGTACTGTACATTAACGCAACAGAATTTGGCACAGGAAGGGTATTTGACTATAAGGGATAAAGTCAACTACATCCCATAGTTTGAGAACAGTACAAGAATCTGTATTGAAATGTCGCACTCATGAAATAAAGAACCTGTTATCCATAAAGTTTGTCTATAATGTACATCCCATAGTGATTGGAATTTTTTACCATAAACTGAGCGACAGAAACATACATTTTCAATCCACAAGTACTGATATGATGACAGCTTTTTCCTTTAACTTCTAAGTCAGAAGATATTTTATCAATTTTGGAATAATAACATAAGACAGTATGATCAGAAGCATTCTGTATCAAAAGTTCAAATACTAAAAATGTTCTATTCCAATTTGTCTCTAACAATTGTACTGCCAAAGAAATCCCTGCGATGTTAATCACTGATAGATAATGTCAGAGGTTCCTAGTTTAAGTGAGTGAGTATGGTTTTCCGCCGCTTTTAGCAATATTCCAATAATATCACGGTCAGGGGACACCAGAATTGAGCTTCACACATTGTACCCATATGGGGAAACGAACCCAGTCTTCAGCATGATGTGCGCTTTAACCATTAGGCTGCATGGCTGCCCCACCGCCCCCTCCAACATTTTATAACCATTACCAAGAATGTGGTGGACAAAAGTTGAAGGATTACAGGTTTCCTGAAGTTGAAGTAATTTTCACGTCTTAGAATTAAGGCTGTAACACATTCTACATATCTCAAGTTCTTAACATATTTAGACTACCTCAAAACCTGAAATTTTGTCGATTTCATCAAACATGGCATTGCTGCTGTTGAACACCCCATCCCATCCAAAAAAGGTTGCTTTGAACAAACTTCTAACAATATTTAAGAAATTTGATAAACCGTCTGACTTCAAATGCTCAAATCTGACTTTTCAGATTGAAAACTTGCAAACTGTTAATCCTAAAACTTAAGGATGTGAGATTTTTAATCTGACATCAAACATTTCTACTGCTTCCTGATCCTTTGTAAATAAATCATGACTTGTTGCTATCATAATGTTTCTTCATATACATGTTTGAACACTCACAAACGGTTCATGTCGTTGTTTGGTTTGTTGTTTACTCCCACTCAGCAATATTCCAGCTATATGGCGGCGGTCTGTAAATAATCGAGTCTGGACCATACAATCCAGTGATCAACATCATGCACATTGATCTACACAGTTGGGATACGATGACATGTGTCAACCAAGTCAGCGAGCTTGACCACCCAATCCCGTTAGTTCGCCTCTTAAGACAAGCATGGGTTACTGAAGATCAATATTCTAACCCGGACCTTCACAGGTCATGACCACATGAACGCTTGGATGTTAACGATATATGTCGATTGTATCTGTCTGTGTTCATTTTTTGTTACAAGTACTAAACATCCTGTGTCTGTGGTTCATCTGTTTTATTTCATCTCTGTTTTCCACACGTCTCAGGCATCCAACTAGCTCTGCATTTATCCACGAGTATCGATTCTATTGCCAGGTGATAAATATCCTAACCTACATATCCTTTATATATCCTCATGGCAATTTCTACACTTTCCTTGAGTGAGTGAGTTTAGTTTTACGCCGCACTCAGCAATATTCCAGCTATATGGCGGCCGTCTGTAAATAATCAAGTCTGGACCAGACATTCCAGTGATCAACATCATGCACATTGATCTACACATTTGGGATATGATGATATGTTTCAACCAAGTCAGCGAGCCTGACTACCCAATCCCGTTAGTTGCCTCTTACGACAAGAATGGGTTACTGAAGATCAATATTCTAACCTGGACCTTCACGGGTATTCAGAATACTGAGCTCATTATTTAAATAACATTAAATACTACATGAAGACTATTTAAATTATATAAAGAATATGTAACTGTCATTCATACCTGTTACTTCTGGATCAACCAGGTCTTTCTCTGTTTCTGTCCTTGGGACTTCCTGAATCTGTGGCACTCGGGAAACGGCTGCTGTTTGGGGGATGGAATGGGTTGAATATTCCCTCATTTGATGGCTCGTTAGTTGTGGAATCAGTTGGGAAGCTGTGAAACACTGACTGTGAAACATTTGAAATTGGCCACCAGCAGCGGCAAATAATTGAGGAACGGAAATCCTGTTCCTCACAAAACATGGGGCATTGTTCAACCCACTGGCACTCTCCGTCACACCAGCTGATGTCCCAACCTTCTCTCTCAATGCTGCTTTTAGGGGAGACTTGGGTTGGTCCTCCTTGTGAACAAGACTACCTTCCTCAGATGTCATTGTCACTTCCACAGCTATGTGTCGTCGTTTTCTTGGACTGGTCGTTCTTGAAGGTTTCTCATGTCGACAACGCTTTTCCCTTGACAAGTTTTCATGTGCACTTGGAAGAGAAACAGAACTTTCAGGCTGCACATTTTCATCTTTGGCAGCATCGTTCATATTTAACACAAATTTCCTTGATCGTTCCTGAGCTACATAGACTCCAAGAATCTTCGGACGGCACCTGTAAGTTACAAGAAATCTGAACTTTGAAACAAGCATTTTCTTTCTCTGCTATGCCACCAGTTTGAAGAAATTCCAAATTCCTCGTTTTGTTCTTAAAGTTACACTGCTTTGTATTAGCAAATATTAAGAGAGCCAACACAGAGTCAACAGCATAGAACCAGTGCCATGGGTCTTTTGGTACTTAAAATGTACCCGAAATTGCGTAAGTCCATTCATGTCTAATAATAAACACCATGTGCTCGAAACTCTTCGTGTGAAGTGGTCGCAGAAAATGTATAAAATTTTACTGGCGTGCTAAACGCAGAAATACAGGGTCGTTCTCCAGCCTGGGAAATCCAGCTTCGGCACAATCACAAGGCCGTGTCAACGGCCACAGCTGACATAATACATCAGAGTAGATCTAACACTACTGTTTCCTACAACTAACCAGCGATGTGTACCGTATGGGGTTATATATAGACCCGAAGCTTATTTATCCTATCACTCCTTGATCATGCTGTCACTGAAGGTGAAGGCCATTTGAGGATTTTGCTATAAACTTTTGACCGAAGCTTAGAAAGATAGGAAGCCTTTCGTCTATGCAATGTAAACAACGATTACCTGATGCCAATGTACATGTGACTTTATTCATGAGAATAGAGTCACAATACTCTGAGATTTATCCTTGAACAGAACACCATACACGCAGCTATCACGAACTTCTCTTGCATTTGTCCGTGACGTCATTCAGGGGCCATAACTCTGTAATGTTCGTCTGCAATGCTTCAATCGGTCAATACACCCAAACGGACATATAGGGTCGAGTCTCTGTCACCTTCACTCCCTGCCAGAATATGAACAGGTTAATATTTATTTCGAAAAATCTTATCACTTGAAATGTGATAATGCATTTTTTTCCAAACTATAAAGGCTACAAGAATCGTAACCATGATCATATATACGTCTGATAATTGCCAGGGGTCGTATCACAGTTCCCGAACCACATTATTTTCCCTTCCGCCCACCACTTTCTGCAATGCAAAAACTCTATAGCAAGACTACATTTCCTCAGTCCTCTGAGTTCACTGGGGTTCCTTTTCAAACGAAATAGAACTGTTTCTTTGTATCAGAATTATACATTCAGAGTCGAGCTCACTGGAGCTCCTTTTCAAGTTAAAATGGAATTATTTGTTTGTTTCAGAATGATATACACTACACGCCAAAAGAAACGTTACCCTCATACCTTTATGAATTACTGAAAAACTATCAAAGATATGTTAGAAGGTATTACTTTACAAGAAAGCTTAACAACACAGCTTTATGGTAATCACGAAACAAAATTCTCAAATGCGTTCATATTTAGGTGAAATGCATCCTTTTCAGAAGGGTTAAATTGTCCTATTTTCGTCCATGCCGTAAAAAAACAACAACAGTCATTTAGATGTCCAAAAGAAAGGTTGAAATATAATTCTGCTTTAAGACAAAGATAAACCATTTAAAGTCACCATTTTTCAAATATTAAAACAAGAATAGTGTGTAAAATTGTAAAATAATCATTCCTTTGATTCCAGTCTTTTAAAACATTTTATGCTGGTTTGCATCAGTGAAATCAACTAAAACGTGTCTTTGGTATTGTGAAAAGTGTTTAGGAACATCTAAAATTATCTTTGTTAACATTTTTGCTTGCAGAGTAACATTTTTCCATTTTCTGTGTACACACAGCAGTATCAATCGCCAAAACGCAGCAATATTCAAGCAGTATTTGCATCCATTTCACATGTAGAATGATTCTACAGGGTATGAAGAGAGCCTAGAATACATGATATGATACACAAGTACGAGAAATATGCCACGATTAACAGCTGAAGAGAGAGAAAGAGCCACTGGGATGGTGTAGATGGGGTCGACGTACAATGTTGTTGCCAACGCCCTCGGATGTCACCGTATCACGGTTATAAGACTTATTCAAGGCTTCAGACAAACTGGGGTGGATGTTGACAGATCAAGAAGTGGACGTCCACGCATTACAACGCCAGCTGAAGATAGGTACCTCCGTCACTAAGGCAGGAGGGTAACGTTTCTTTTGGGGTTTAGTGTATATCCAGAGACTAAGCGCGTTGGTCCATACCAGGGACAAGAAGCCTAGTTATTCATTTAGTAAATTCAGTCACAAATTTCACGCATACAACTAATAAGTGATTGATTTCCGATGAACACCGCTATGTACATGTATATTATTCAATACATCACATGACGTCCGCTAATGGGCGAGGTTACGTGGACCACTGATTAGTAGTGTGCCGATTTACTGAAACAATCGCTGATTATTTGGAAGGCCCAAACAACCAAGCAAATGAACGCATTTTCCACAGACGATTCCGTGGGAGTTAGGCTTCATCCCAGTATAGATCTAATATGTGGACAACGTCCCAAGGAGAAGGTTTCATAATGAGTTACAATATCATACAAAACCCTCAAAATAGCCAGTTTTATTACTGTTTGTATTTGGGTTGTTTCTATGAGGATTAAATTCTTGAAATTAACATTGAAAAACGCAAAATGAAGCAAACCGATTAGTTTCGATGATTGAATGGGATAGATGATCCAGTTATAACTTAATTAATTCAGTTAGTTTACAACCAAATCCTAATATACTCATGCCAATAATGGTTGTCACCCCCTCTCCCCACCCCAACCCCACACACACACCCCACATCCCCTCTCCAATAAAAACAATTGAAGAGGGTGACAACCACTATTAGCATGAGTATACTAGTTGCTGATATCCCAGATCGCATTAGGGTTCATGGTCACGTGACAAGTAAGTTGACTAGACTGACTGACTGACTGAGTTTGGTTTTACGCCGCTTTTAGCAATATTCCAGCAACATCACGGCGGGGGACACCAGAAATGGGCTTCACACATTGTACCCATGTGGGGATTCGAACCCGGGTCTTCGGCGTGACGAGCCAACGCTTTAACCACTAGGCTACCCCACCGCCCTAAGTTGACTAGAAGTGAATTAATGCAGCTACAAGCTACCAAGCAGGCGTTGGGCAATGCTCCCGACATAGTCAAAACAAACTCGTCAGCATTATCGTAGACTTTCCTTGACCTTTACATGCCTTCTGGTAATCTCCAGATAGTCCAGTGTTATATAACTCATGGACAACTTTTTTCTTTATACACGCTTGTGAGTGAATTGGGTTTACACCGCTGTGAAAAGTACGAAAGTGAGTGAGTTTAGGGTTACGCCGCACTCAGCTATATGGCGGCGGTCGGTAACTAATCGAGTCTGGACCAGACAATCCAGTGATCAACATCATGCACATTGATCTACACAGTTGGGATACGATGACATGTGTCAACCAAGTCAGCGAGTCTGACCGCCCAATCTCGTTAGTTGCCTCTTACGACAATCATGGGTTACTGAAGACCAGTTCTAACCCTGATCTTCATGGGTCACCGCCATCAAACATGGATGTCTAACCTTTACTTGCCCTCGACAGTGTATAACATCCGAGTCTGCGAATAGATAGAAAAACCTACACAAAGACATGTCCGGAAGTAGTGCTGAAGTACAAGTGTGAATGAGTTTAGTTTTACGCCGCCTTTAGCAATATTCCAGCAATGTCACGGCAGGGGACACCAGAAATAGGCTTCACACATTGTACCCATGCATACATGGGGAATCGAACCCGGGTTTTCGGCGTGATAAGCGAACGTTTGAACGACTAGGCTACCCCACCGCCCCCGTAGAACCAGGGCCCGCGTTTTGATGTGACGTTACGTTACGTAGGACCTGGCTCTCATTACTCAGTAACCAACATTCTAACTAACGTCATACATTTCAGTGTTCATATATTCAGTTCAGTTATACTCGATAACTTACAACATGTTGGAGATTCTAAGATATTACTTTACCAACGCATGTTATGATATAGTGTTTAAAGAAAGAAATATAAATACTTTCTATTCAATGCACATAAGTCCCATATCCAATTACCCAACAAGTTCGATAGACTTTTCAGACACTATTTGAAACAGACCATGACGGCTTTGGTGGCCGTGGAATAAAGGCTGCTCACGTAGGAGGCATAGACCTAGTGCTATACTGACGCATCGACCTCTGCCTTCCTTGCATAGAGCTGTACGATCGCTTAGTCCACGTGTGCAAGCGAAGGGCAGCTTGTACCTATTGGTAACGACGGGTGTTGAAGCTCACGTGGACACGGGCTGGAAGCCAGATCACTGGGCCATGTCAGTTGGGAAGGGCATTCGTGACCTCTTCTGTAACCAGGGACACTTTACCGAGAGTCATTTGCATACATAGTGAATATTAGTCTTACTGTCTCTGAATTACCCGTGAAGATCCGGGTCAGAAGTGGTCTTTAGCCACCCATGCTTGGAGTCAGTCACGGGTGTAAGGGTGCGCTGACTTAGTTTGATGCCTGAAAATATATCTCAGATCGCTGCGCAAATGTCAATTACTGAATTGTTTGGTCTTAACTCAATTAATTACTTGAAAACTGCCGAGTTAAAATTTACATATACCGGGAGTATTATTAACAGAAAACGACGAGGATGGGTGTTCGAGTCCCACTTCTGGTGGGGTAAAACCGTACCTATACTCAAAGAAGAATTTGCCAACAATGATATTGAAGCTCTCTCTCTCTCTCTCTCTCTCTCTCTCTCTCTCTCTCTCTCTCTCTCTCTCTCTCTCTCTCTCTCTCTTCTCTATGACTCTCTCTCTCCTCACTGTCTCACCTCTCTTTCTCTCTCTCTCTCTCTCTGTCTTTTCTATGTCTCTGTCTCTCTCTCTCCTATGACTCTGTCTCACGTACCCTCTTTATTTCTCTCTATATGAATTGCAATAAGCCCCAGTAAGATCGGAGATAGTCGCGAAAATCTACACTTGCTTCGTGTCTGTGTATGTGTATCTCTCTCTGTGTGTCTGGGTCGATCTATCCACTTGAAACAGCATTAAGTGTATATTACTTACAAACATTCAATATGTTTATTGTTGGGAAAATATCCGAATCTGGTCACATTCAAAGACGCAAACTTGGGAGAGCATCCTCCATTATCAAGGGAATATATTTTCAATCACGTGCGACACATACAGGTACCCATGCAATACACATTTCAACGAAACATGTGGTATTACATTTCAGCTACAGTCATACCACATGTAATGGACGGTGTGCCCTGTGTGTCCCTGGCTGCATCCAGTCCCCCTGCACCTAAACCAGCAGGAATGTGCACCCATTCCCAGAGCGTCTGTAGGTCAGGAAACCAGTGTGCCATGGTGCAGAGCTGTTGCAGGTCACGGTGACATAGATAGCATCATTATCATTACTGGCGCCGTCTTACAAGTTTTTGACAACCCGAACGTCACTTGTGAGTTTCCGTCACGCAATACGTGGAGTATTAGTTACGAGTAACGGTGTCCTTGACATCGACGTTGTGGGATTAATAATTATTCAGTCAATACCATTTTCTTTATCTTTACCCTGTGTAGAAAGCACAACATGACATTAGTCTGGGACGTTTACCAATTT